TTTTATCACTAACCAACCAAGCACTGTCAGGTGGGACGCCATGAATTCAGGCAAAAACAGACGTTGCAGGCCGCATCTTAATGATATGTCTTAAACAAAAGCAAGAGTACAAACGTACAGTGGAGAAATCAAAACAGTCCAAACAACAGAGAAAATGTCCAAACAATCATCCAGGCAGGGGAGAGTTTAATCCTTAAAGACACAAGCAACTGGCAGCTGGCCGACAAACGATAAACACGGGACATGAACTAGACAATGATCCGACAAGGACTGAACAGAACTTAGACAATATATACCGACACAGACGAGCAGGGAGGGAGAAACACCAGATGCAGCATATCAGATAATCAGACAACTGGGAAACAAAGCTAGATACAACAGCAGACAACTACAAACTAAAACAGGAAACAACAGACACGGACAATTTCCAAAATAAGACACACAGGAACACAGACCAAAATGGGGACAGTCAGTCAATTTATAACAAACTAACTCACAATCCAACCAACTTTTTATCCAAATAGTGATTGCTTTAGTAATATTTAAAACGGCAATGCTACTGGTGCGTTCCATTGACATGGGAAGTCGGAATTTCAGAGTTTCCAAGAGGTAAATGGAACGCACCATTATATCGGCTGCTTCTCTGTTTCTTAGAGCACCTCAGTGTCAGAACAACCCGTTCTCACTCACAAGTCGTCACATATGGACGCATGGTCAAGAGCCATAGTCGTCAGTTTGTGACGCACTGAGGATCCCATGGCGTCATGGTTCATCATTGTGGGGGAAGCCCTGTAGCGTCAGTTTTTGACGGTAAAGGCAGGTATATGATATTTAACAGAAAAGACTGAGTAAGGAGGTGGTTGGGGTGGATGGAGGGCCAGAACTTGGACTTTGAACCAGGAGACTTGGGTTCATGTCCTGTGTGAAACAAAAATGTAAGTTACGTAAACTGACGTTAGTTAACTTACGTGTTAACTGACCTACGTAATTACTTTAACCCAAACCAGGATCTTTTCCTAACCTTAACCAAGTAGTTTTGTTGCCTAAACCCAACCAAACTGCAACGTTTCACAACTTTAATAACATGCTGTTTCAAAATGCCGCTGTTTCCAAACGCTAGTATTTTATTTTGAAAGTCTAACCGGACGTTGCATATTTATTGTTGCTAACTTTGCTGGAAGTTGTATATTTGTTGTTGCTAAGCATTGCTAACTTGACCGCGGAGCCCTAAACGTCAATAAATGACCCAAAAGGGGTACCAGGTTGTTAAAAGGTGACGGCAAAGGGCCTTGACCAAGCGTCAATACGTGACGAGTCGGGAGTGAGAACGTGTTGGTCATAATGTTGGTGAATCTTGAACCCAGAAGCAGACTCTGATGAGCAGTAGTCAAGTCATAGTTTATTTGAATCTTTTGGGGGGGAAAGTCAGATGGTAGCTGCGTACCCTGCGCTGCAGCCTGATGCGTACCTCCCCGAAAATGTGACTACACGTTGCGGCGACACAGCTTGCAAGAACTGTGTTGGCTTGGTAGCGTCTCATTTCCTCCTATGCTTTTCTGGCTCGTCCTTCTTCTTCTGCCTCAACCGGTGCAATTGTCGTACATACCTCCGACACCTTTCACTGAAAGTAACTGCTGTTCAACATCTATCAGCTCCAACATGATCCGCTCACTTTCAGTTGCCATTGTTTGTATTAGCCGCCACAAAAAAAAGAAAAGAAGAAACTCATCACAGTGGAACATGAATCCCCACAGCCAACTAGTGTTTTAGCGGTGGGGAAGTATAAATGCTCACAATGACACATACAGCGTGGATGATCTGGCAGAGAAAGAGGTGAAGACCCAGGGTTGATGTCCTGCAACTTCTTGATTAGTGGAACGCAGGACAGGTGAGCAGGAGGGTGATTGGCAGCCGAAGTGTGAAGCCACGCCCACGCACATAACAGAGAGAAAGACAGGGAGACTAAGACGAAAGAAAGGGAGGGGGAAACAAGGCACGAGGAGGAGACACTGCAGGGCCACAACACTTCTTGTTGCTCAGCACATTCTCCCACCTGGTCTCATATGGGCTGTTGGTCAAGTCCTCTTGGCGTCGCCCTGGGTACCCGTTTGCATCGTTTTTTGTCATGTAGGGCTCTGTGGTCATTTTAGAAACAATTAAGCAACGTCTGCTTAGACTTTCAAAATATTTGGTCATGTTTAGGGAAAGATCGTGGTGTGAGCTAAAATAACTACGTTACTTACGTGACTTTACTCACGTTAAGTAATGTCACTTGAGTATCTTACGCAACGTAACTTCAATATAACATTCAATGTTGACTTGAAGTTTCACACAGGAAACAAAAACCGGTCTCCTTGGCTCACCAGCCACCTCCTTAATCTGACTTTTCTGTTAAATATCCTACACCTGCCTTTCAAAAATTGTTCAAAAATGACCCCCCCCCCCACCCAGTGTGTTACAAACTGACACTAAGGGCTGTTGACCATGTGTCCATATGTGACGACTTGGGAGTGAGAACAATAGAGAAAATCATCAGCACATTATTGATCAATAATCTCAAGTTTAGTTTAACTTAATAGGTAAGAAATAATTAAAATGTAAAAACATTTTTTAGTGTTTTATTTTGAAAATCTCATTGGAGTGTTAGTATTCTCAGTGGGGAAGGCAGAAAAAGGTGTGTTTGTGTCTCTTTTTTCCCTTTCGCTCGCCTTCAGCCTTTTATCCTGCCGTGTGTGTTTGTGTGTGAATGACTCATCCACCATCTCTGTCTACATGAACACACACACCGCGGTGAGAGGGTGTGGGCGATCGACAGGGCCGAGCCAGCCTGACAGAGACACAGAGAGAGAGAGAGAGAGAGAGAGAGAGAGAGAAACATCCAGCATGAATGAACTCTCTCTGCTTCATATTACAGAAAATAGTTTGTCCCAGTTTCTTGAGAAGTGAGTCACGCACACACGCGTATCCCAGCATCCTTTGCAGATGTCCAGACAACACTGAACATCCTCTTCTTAAAGGACCGCAGGTTTTATTTGATTTAGTCCTTAAACTGATGTTTACCGACAACCTTTCAGGATGTTTGACACACTTTGACAAAGTCCGTCACATACCTGCAGTGGTGAAATGTAAACTTGTAAACTTGTGTACTTAAGTACAATTTTAAGGTACTTGTACTTTACTTGAGTATTTCCATTTTATTCTACTTTATACTTCAACTTCACTGCATCACAGAGGCAAATATTGTACTTATTACTCTACTACATTTATTTTACAAAGTTACAAGTTACTTTTCAGTTGGGCTGCAGTGATTAATCGATAAATCAACTAGTCTAAATAATTATCAGCTTTTTCAAGTAAAAAGTTAAGCCAAAAGTCCAGCTTGTCCTTTTCTGCTTTCCTTAACCATATGTGACAGTAAACTGAAAAACCTTGGACCGTTGTTCAGACAAAACAAGATGTCAGCTTGGACGTTTCGTTCCTTTCTCATCCATTTTCTGAAAAGACACCTATTCCCTAAAATTTCAACAGTCTTAAATAATGTCTGTATCCTAATTATGCAGCAGTTTTTAACGTTAAAAATTTTCAGACACTTCATGATGGAGCAAATGCATTTAGTAGTTGTGTTCGATAAATACCTGATGAACTGTCTTTTAAAGGGATCAACAATAAGCCAGAGATCCTTCCTGAAATAAAACCTCCTCCTGTGTCAGGTTTCAACTCAACACTTTTTATTTTCCTCAGACAGAGAAAGAGAGAGAGGCCAGCCGTCCAATCAGTGGAATTTAATTTCCTGTCCAGCAGAAATGAAATGTTGCTGCGTTTTACTGCGCCGCCTTTAATTACAAGCTGTTTAACATTCTCACACACAGGTTGGGCTCTCAATAAAATGCACATGAACATCCAATTACACATTTTAACAACTGGATGTAAATACACACGTGTCTTCATGCGTATTTCTCTCTCTTTAAATATTAATATTAATTTAAATACAGTGTCCAGAAGAGTTGCTCCTCTGTTTTTCCTTACATATCTCATCAGGGTCATCCCCACTCTATTCGCTGACGTCTTTCCCTCAGATGCTGAAGTCACTTCAGTCACAGTTCCTGTTGAAACACGAGCCAGCTGAGCCGTCTTTGTAATTGAAGCTCGCTCCATCTGTGTCACTTAGATCTTTTCCTCTTGCCGTGGCGATACAAAATCAGAATCAGCTTGGCTGCTCTGCATCTTCATACATGCCACAGAGCATGATTGGATGTTAATTGCTTAATTGTACCATGCAGTGCACCTGTGTGTTAGCATCTGCATTCGTTATGTTCTCCATCCTGTGTGTCTGTCAGGTTGGATTCTCCTTCACAGGTTGAAATGCTGCAATAAATTATTTTTTAAACTTTTAATGAAATAATCAAACATTTTAAATTTTTTGCATTAACAAAAATTACTCATTTATTTGGATTTGCTGTCTGACTTGGAATAAATAGAATATAATAATATAATATAATAGGAAGCACTTAGCTGTGACTTTTTTAGAGATTGCTCGCAACGATGCAGTTAGCTTGGATCATTGGTATTGCTCTACTACTAGCAATGCTGAGCAGTTAGCTGATAACATTTGAAATGCTTAAAGTTTAAAAGAACCCGTTAGCTGTGACCTTGCAGTGCTAAGAAAACATCTTTAATGCTAACAAGTTTAAAGAAACTGCTAGCCTGTTAGCCAGTAGCCAGTCAGTTGCGAATGTGCAGCACTAACAGATACTGGAAAGACTGCTAGAAATGCTAAGCATTTGCAATGCTAACAGGTGTAAAGAAACTGAGCCTAGCAAAAATAACAAGTTAGCTGTGGCTCCTTGCAGTGCTAAGAGTTATAAAGAAACACCTGTAATGCTAACAGGTTTAAAGAAACTTAACTGTAACCCTGTAAAAAGCTAACAGGTATGAGGACAGACTGTTAATGTTAGCATTTAGCTGTGACCCTTTAACAAGTAGAACAAGGTTCTGCTTACTTACTAGCTGACATGTAACTTTAATTCAGACAACATATTAAGACATATTTGTTTATATTTATTGGACAATAAATAGTTTGGTGACGAAAGCCAACAGGATGCTGAATGCAAAATTACACACAAAGGTAACAAACAACCTCCCAACCAACAATCCACTTGACAGAAACTGCATTGTATTTACACCAGACTGCATTTACAAATAACAAATTTAACAGCAGTGATATTTGAACTGTAAATAAAAAAATGCATATTTACAGTATACATATAACACACACAATACAGCCATAGCCTCTCCACAGAGGATGTACTGTCCTTTTCAATGTCCAAATATGACATTTACAATATTTACATGTATGTATGTTTCGATTTTGTGTTAAATTGTTAATTTTCTTTATGGAATACCTTATTGTTGCCGACTCCTCTGGTGGAGAAGAATCGTTCTCCGTCTGGCAGCAGATCAGTGTGACTACTCTTTTTGAAAGTCAACAGGATTTACAACTTCTCATTTCCCTGGTTACATTGTGTTGTCATGACCTTGTTTTAACCCTGGCACCCTTCCCAGCGGCCTTCCCTTGCTCTTTCTTGACGTCTTTCCGGATGGTACCTCCCCCCACCTTCATCCCCAGGTCCCTGATGTGGACTCTGACATTGCCCAGGTTCTTTTGCCAGGCAGCGTCCATCTTTATGGTCTTACCTCCTTGGTCTTGGTTGTCACTAGAGTTAGCTTCTCTTTTGGCCGCTGTGCCACTCACGTTCTTTACTTTTTGGCGTTCCCACGTGCTAGCATCCACCATAGCATTCGGCTTTGCAGGGATGGTGATCGCAGGATTCTTACTTCTCAGTCGTTGTGGTTCCCAAACACTACCATCAACTGAATCGCCTAGGTTTGTAGAAACCCCGCCGGTCTTACTCCCTTGATTTTGTTGTTTCCACGTGTTGGCATCCACTGCACCATTTAAATTTGTAGGATTAGCACTGTTCATATTTTGTATTTGCTGTGGTTCGGGCAGGGCAGTATCCTTTTTGGTGTCAGAATTCACAGCGCTCCTACTTCGTAGTCGCTGTGGTTCCCACATGCTAGTTCCAACTGCCACATCGGACTTGACAGGAACCCTCTTAGTGGATTTGTTTCCTTGCTGTTGTGGTTCCCACATGCTGGAGTCTATTTTAGAGTCCGGATTAGCCAAATTTGCAATCCCTATATTCTTGCTTTGTTGTTTTTGTGGTTCCCACATGCTAGAGTCTGATTTAGTAGAATTAAGAACCCCAACATTCTTACATTGTTGTCTTTGTGGTTCCCACATGCTGGAGTCTATTTTAGAGTCCGGATTAGCAGATTTAGCAATCCCAGTATTCTTACTTTGTCTTTGTGGTTCCCACATGCTAGAGTCTATTTTAGAGTCCGGATTAGCAGATTTGGCAATCCCAGGATTCTTACATTGTTGTCTTTGTGGTTCCCACATGCTAGAGTCTATTTTAGAGTCCGGATTAGCAGATTTAGCAATCCCAGTATTCTTACAATGTTGTCTTTGTGGTTCCCACATGCTAGAGTCAATTTTAGTGTCCAGATTAGCAGAATTAGCAATCCCAGGATTCTTACTTCGTAATCTTTGCAGTTCCCACATGGTAGAACTCACTGTCACATTTGGCTTTGCAGGAATAGGAACCCGAGCGTTTTTGCTTCCCAGCTCTCCTGGTTCCCACATGCTAGCATCCATTTTGGTTTCAATCTTAGCCAGAGTAGAATATCCCAGATTTTTAAGTCTTAGGCTTTGTCCAGACTCTGCAGTCCTGTTTTGCAATGCATTGTCCACTTTAGCACCTGCTTTTTTTGCCCCCTGTTGCTGTGGTGCTAATGACGTTGGAATACGTTGTGGTGGTCTTGATGACAGTCTTTGTGATGTTGGTGGGGGCGGCGTTGGAGGTGGAGTAGCTTCCAGAGAGTCCCAGCGAGTGTCGACAAACTCCAGGGAAGAACCGAGCATACCGGCCAACTCAGGGGTGGCCTCCACCAGTTCCAAAGGGTCCTTGATGTCCGGCCTGAAGGAGGCCAACTCCTGCTCATCAGGACCCGTTAGGAGCTGCGAGAGGGACGCCTGCCGGTAGAACTCATCCTCAGGGACAGACTGCACGTTGAGCTGTGGGAAGAGGCGCCGGAAAGATCGAGATGTCATCCGAAGTCGACCCAGGACGTCGGAGAGGAGGAGCCAGTTCCTGGACCTGCAGGAACAAGACAAAAACAAGAGTGTGAACTTTTACACAAGACTTTTGACTCCTGACCTCAGTATTTTTAACATCATGGTTATGTCTCTGAGTGAGTATAAAGGGAAATGGTAAAAAATACTCAAGGTAAAAAAGCATAAGGCCTGGACAATAAAATAATAATAATTATCGCAAGATATAATTTTTCAAAAACAATATTACAAATGTTCAGTAAATATTCCACAAATGTTTGATTTTATTCACTTAGATCATACATGAATTAGGACTTTTTATTAAGATATTTATTTTGTTGAGGAAAAAAGACTGAAAGAGTAATGAGTTTAAACCGCAAGTAACCATCAGGTTTCTTTGACTTTCACTCTGGAGCAAAAATCAGCCTTTAAACTCGAAAGAAATAACGATTTGATACTTATCGTGATAATTATCCGTATCGAAAGATATGAAACTTTTTGATCGTGATAACATATCGTCTAGCCCTACTTTTAAGTAAAAGATCTGAGTACTTCTTCCACTGCTGCACATTTGTGACATTCACTGGCTTTTTAAAAACAATGGTAAAGCAGTGTATAGTAAAATATTTTTTCCTCTTCAATCTGGTGTAGAAAAGGCAACGAGACAAAATTGCTTAGAAAATTCCTAAATGGAAATTCATGAACACAATAAACGCCGTCAGACTTCAACAGATGTACAGGGGGGCGTGGCCGGGAGTTCAAGATAACTATGATGTGATAACATTTTTGGCCATATCGTCCAGCACTACACAAGGCAGACATTTTGGACTGACATCAGTTCAATGCAATTGACGCAATCAATTGATCAACAACTGCAAGCCGTCTTGAGAGTGCTGACCAAGCTAGCTAGTTGTTTTTTTGTACAGATTGTAACCACCTTTAAGGCAAATTTGTCATTTGCGATTTTGGGCTGTATAAATAAAACTGACTTGAGTTGACTTGAACAGCTAAATGGTATCACCCGACACTAATCAGTTGAAATATTCTCCACTGCAGAGGATGATGCTCATCTCAATTGTTCTATCAAACTTTAAATAATAAGAAATTATAATTGTTTTGTGGAGAAGTTTTGCACGTCTGTGATGGACAAGTTTTTCAATGTCGGACAAAACAAATGTCAGACCTCTCCAAGGACAAGACAGAATAGGAAATGAGTATTACAGAAGCAGTGCAGATGTGTTATATTATAGATTAAACATTCAATTAAGGCAACATTTTAAATGTGGCTTACATAAATGTCAGAGAGGGAAGAAGGAAGAAGCAAGGCGGAGAAAAGAAAGAGACAGTTTCTCTTTTATATATTCTGCTGTTGTAGCCGAAGACAGTCTCGACATCAATGGAGCTGTTATTGATTCACAATGTCTGTCAATGTGTGTGTATGTCAAGGGCAAAGGAAACTTAACACACACACACACACACACACACAGAGCAGTGGACAAGGCCACATGTTGCTTTAAAGCCAGTTGCTGCTGGAATGTTAAACAAGCCAATGAAATGCGTGCGAGTGCGTGCGAGTGTCAGTACCCGGTGGCCTTGTACCCAGGAGGAGCCATTAATACTACATCAGACACGAGAGGGGGAAAAAAATGAGAGCGAGAGAAGAAGAAAAAGAGAGGGGAGGAGAAAAGCGACAGGGGAGGAAGACGAAGTGGAAGCCAATTAGCCGCGTCGCCACGGCGATGCAATCCTCGTTAACGACCTCTCCGTCTGTCCTGCCTTTATCTCTCTCTCTTTCTCTCCATCTCCTCCTCTGAGGATCTTTTTTCTCTCACTCGCACTACCCTTCAGTCGCTCTCTCTCTCTCCCTCCTCCGCTATCCCCTTCTTTCTTTTCTAAGCTGCTTTCCACCACCTTAATTGGAGTGTGTGTGTGAAAAAGTGGGAGATGTGTTAAAACAACACTGAGAAAGACTGTGTGAGGGTGAAAGAGAAAAAAAGAGTGTGAATAGGAAACCTCAAACTGTGTGTGTATGCGGGTGTGGTCTTTGTTAGTTTTCCTTTGGTATGCTTCATTTAGCTGCACTATTTTATTTCAGTTCTCTGTCTTTTTTCTTTTAGTGAGAGTGCCTTTAGCCCTAATTTCGTCTAAGTGTGTTAGTGTTAGAGTTAGGCCCTTTTAGCCCTTTTGCCCTCAAATGCAGTAAAAGGTCCTTTAATCCGTCTTCCATTAATTCTGATGAGCCTGATACTAGTTCCTTTACCCCCGACTCACACAGGGAACGCCTGCGCCGCAGCTGATCGCTGCCACTCTTGTCGACACATGTGCTTGTAGGTACCAAATCTGTGCTGCCTGCCGGATCCCTATCTGCACATGCGCAAAAGTGGTCCTGTCTGCCAAAGACGGTTACTACAAATGTGCCTGTTATTAATAATTACTTGTGTGTTGTTGTCTGTTCTCATCTCAGGGTGTCAAATACTGATGCTTTCAGAAAGGCTGACATAGCGTTATTTGATGCAAAAGGTACCCTTCAGCATCCATATGAGACACCCCCGGGCGCATCTGTATGAGACGCCCTGTCTAGACCGGCTAGGTAGCTAGCTACATTAGTATAAAAGGCGTTGACAGTTTCCCAAAGCCCCTAACCCTAACAATCACAGGGGTGTGTGCCTAAACCTAGGTCAGCGATTGTATGCATGTTGACGGGCTAACCCTAGCTGCTAGCACATCGACCATCTATGGTTATTCTTATCACTGGTCGAGGCAGATGGCCGCCCACCCTGAGCCATGGTTCTGCTCGAGGTTTCTGCCTCTTAAAAGGAAGTTTTTCCTTGCCTCTGTCGCCTAGTGCTTGCTCTTGGTGGGAACTGTTGGGCTTCTGTAAATATCATCACAAGAGTACGGTCTAGACCTGCTCTTTTATGAAAAGCGCTGTGAGATAACTGTTGTTGTGATTTGGCGCTATATAAATAAAATTGAATTGAAAATTGAACTCCTTTGTGTTGCTACTTTGTTAGATTGTTGTCATTGTTAGAAATTAAAAATGTTCTGGAGAACAACGTTTTTCATATCTTAAGTATATTCATATTACATCATAGTGAACAGTTTAATCTCCAGTGATTAAAAAACATTTTGCTGTCTTGATTTGAAAGATTTAGTTGGATCGTTTTGAATAGGCACATTTGCGGCAACCGTCTTTGACTGACAGAACCACAGCCGGTACGGATTTGGCGCTGATGGTGCTCACACAAGACAAGCTGCAGCGCATTCCAGAAACGGCTCTCTGTGGAGAAAACGCTATGAGTCTATTTTTGACGGACGCCACGTCAAGCGGCATAGAGCCGATGAACCGGGCAGGCAGTCAGACACAGGAATGGCATAGACAATCCAGTCAATTTTCAAAATAACACACCCTGTGCTGACACCTTATATCAACATTAACACAATTAAAATGGTCAAAAAAAAGAAACTATTTAACTACGTAGCTATTTAAGCACATTTGAAGCACAAAATTCAAGGACAAATTACCAAATCAACTAAATCTGACCAAGTCAGAAAAATCAGGAAGGCAAAACCCTGCGCTCCTGAAACGCTCCTGAAACACTCCTGAAATGCTTCCAGTATGAGTTGAACAACAACAACTCCTAGTTTCCTTAGTCCAAGTTTAATTGGTCCCAGTTCTGTTATGTTTGTCCCTACTTTCTTTTGCCCTAATGTGTTTAGCCTTACTTTAGTCTAGCTCCTCTTGCTTCAGTACGTTTAGCCCAAGTCCTGTTAGTGCTGTAAGTAATGTGTTTACCACAGGATTCTTTAGTCCTAGGTTCTTTACTTCTTGTTCCCTTATATGTAAAATGTTTACGCCTTAGTACCTTAAGCCCAAATTCCAATGGTCTTAGTTCCTTTAGCCCTAATATGTTAAGCCCTAGTTCTGTTATTCCTTGAGTAATAGCAACTGTGTTAAGTGCTAGATCCTTCAGTCCTATTGCCTTGAGTGGTAGTTCATTTTTATTGTCCTACTTCCTTCAGCCCTGGTTCTTCTGGTCCTAGTTTGTTTAGCCATAATTCCTTCATTCTTATTCTTCACAGTTCTGTTACTTCTAATATGTTAGAACTAAGTTCCTGCTTTCTCAAGATCTCTTATTGTTAGCACCAGATCCTTTAGTCTTCCTTCCTTTAGTCCCAATTTGTTTAACCTACTTCATTTAGTCCTACTTTCTTTAAATCCCTAATGGTTAGCACCAGTTCCTTTAGTCCTAGTTTGATTAGCCCTAGTTCCTGAGGTCTGAGGTCCATAAGTCCTAATGTGCAACTCTTTCAGTCCAAGTTTCTTGAGCCCTAATATGTTGACCCCAATTCCTTTAGGGGTAGTTCCTTTTGTCATTGTCACCTTAGTCCCAATGAGCTTACCCCCTACTCTGTTTAGTCCCAGTTATTTAAGCACTACTCCTGTTCACCCCTGGTTCCTTTAATCATGGGTTCTTTAGCTCTACTTTCTTTAATCCTGGTTCCTTTAGTCTTAGTTCCTTGAGCCCGGATATTAATATTCCTGTGTGTTCATGTCTTCTTTGTTCATTTAGTCCTAATTTGATGATCTCATACCCTTTTAGCCCTAGTCCTGTGAAACCATTTTTAAACTCTAGTTACTATAATCATAAGTACTCTTAGCAAAGTTCATTCTTTTCTCATATTTCCTTGAGCTCTAATATTGTTAGTAATAGTCCTTTTAGCCCTACCACTATTAAACTTATTTTAGAACTAGTTTATTTCCTCCCAATCTCTTAGGTACTAGTTTCTTTAGTCCTAACGTCTTCAGTCCTGGTCTGTGACTCCAAACCTAGGAGAAAAACACCTAGATGTTGGGAACTTTAACTCACCCCTGGGACAGTGACACCTGGATGTTATAGCAAGGGAGCAGTGGCCGGTCGGACAGTTCAAACTCAAACACCTCTCTCCTGGCTCGTTGCTCCTCATCCTCGTCCTCCTCTTCACCCTCCTCCTCCTCCTCTGGCCCCGGAGGGTCAGCAAGAATGTTATACACTGCTCCCCCACTGGATGGCTCTGCAAAAACACAGAATAACATTATGGATGAGCGCTGAGTGTCCCTTTAGTCTCGATTAGTTTGGCGCTAGTTTCTTGAGTCCAAATGGGTTTAGTCATAGTCCCTTTAGTCTTCATTGCTTGAGAGGTTGTTCTTTTATCTTAACTGGTTTAGCAGTAGAACCTTTAGGCTTGGTTAGATAAGCGGTAGTTACTTTAGTCCTAATCGGTTGAGCAGTAGTTCTTTTACATGTGGATTTCACCGGGCATGGCTCTACAACATTATGTCTTCGACCCGGTTTTGGCACGTCCTCTGCACGGCTTCGTACCCCACAGGGAGCATTTCAGAATCAGAGCATTTTGACTGCCTGATTTTACTGATTTGTTTGGTTTTTGCTGATTTGGTCATTTGTCCCTGAATAATGGTTAAGTAGGCTACGTTGTTTATTTTTGTGTCTATTTTGTATTTATTTTTTATATACAATCGGGAATCTGCACCGGGTGTTTCATTTTGAAAATGTACTGGATTATCTATCCCGTTTCTGTGTCTGACTTCCTGCCCGGTACGATCTGGTCTGTGCAGCTTGATGCGTCTTCCGTAATAAAAAAGACACGCTGCGTATCGTCCGCAATGCAGAACGGAGGGCTGCTTCTGGGACGCTTCTGAAATGCGTTGCAGTGCGTCTGGTGGAATCACAAGCATTGTGTACAATGATCCATGACGTAGCAGTGCCCGTTGGAATCAAGTCGTTAGTTGTTATCGGTTAAGTGGGAGTTCATCCTATTTTTTCTAGTTGTCGTAGTTTGACATATTTCTTTTCGTTTAACTTTTGTCTTAAGTTGTGGGTTTTCTAGTCCTTGTTCCTTTAATCCTAAATTGTTTATCCTTGCTGAACCTTCCTGTTTATCTCCCCAATGCACTGTTCTGTTTGTGTTTGTGTGTAAACTTACCGCACACGGAGCTGCCGTAAAACTCCCAGCAGATTCCTGGATCGCCCTCTGACCTTCCCTGGAGGTCGGAGAGATAGTCTGCAAACAGCGAGAAAAAGAGAAAGAGAGAAATGCAGAGTTAGTGGATTTTGTGGTCGATCAAAGAGCTGACCAATCAGAGAGGATGAAGGCAGTGAGATGAAAACAATAGAACCACACACACACACACACACACACACACACAGACGCAGAGTGAAAGACGGGAAGAAGAAGACAAGTGTTTGTGCTCAGACGGTGCCGGCTTGTCGCCGTGGCGCTTGGCGCTGAGTAGACGGATGATGGCAGGAGTGTGTGTGTTTCTGTGTGTGTGTTTCAGTTTGTGCGCGTATGTGTGTGTGGCGGTAAGCTGTTCTGGGATTCAACAGCCAAGCCTCATTAAACCCCTCTGGAGAGAGAGAGAGCAAGAGAGAGAGAGAGAGAGAACAAATACAGGCAGGGAATGATAATCAGACAGGCTTGCAAGCACACACACACAGAAACACACACTTTTCTCCCGTCTATTTCCTTCTTGTTTACACCGATGTTTCTCTCGTTTGCACTAAATTTGTTTCATTCTTTTCCTTTTTTATTTCCTTTTATATATATATATATATATTTGGTTAACATGTTAACCCAAACGTATTTGATTTTAACGGTGGTGCGGTGGTTAGCACTGTCGCCTCACAGCAAGAAGGTCGTGGGTTCAGACCCCGGTTGCCCCGGCCTTTCGGTGTGGAGTTTGCATGTTCTCCTTGTGTCTGCGTGGGTTCTCTCCGGGTGCTCCGGCTTCCTCCCACCGTCCAAAAACATGCAGGCTAGGTTGATTGGTTACCCTAAAAATTGTCCTTAGGTGTGAGTGGTTGTTTGTCTATGTGTGGCCCTGCGATGGACTGGCGACCTTTCCAGGGCGTACCCCTTGCGCCCGAAGTCAGCTGGGATTGGCTCCCGTGACCCTGTACGCAGGATAAGCGGTTGACGATGGATGAATATCCGTCTATGACACTTGAATGTACTTTTCAGCCATGCTAGCGGCTTGATGAAGAGTTGGTCAGTCGGTCCACCTCTTTGACCCACACTGAAAAATCTTGGATGGATTGTGATAAAATGTGGTTCATGTTCCCCTCAGGATGAGCTGTAATAACTTTTGTGATCCTTTGACTTTTCATCTACCGAATATCAGGTCAACATGTTAATGTGTCCAACACTTTGGTTTATCACCTAATACCTGCAGAACTAATTACATTCCCATCAGCCTCAGCTGTACGTTGTCTTTATACTACTATTGCTAATTAGAAATGTTTTAACAAGAAATATAACAAACTGGTCAAGATTATAGCTGCTGAACATCAGCATATTAGCATTGTTTTGCGAGTTGTTAACATGATGATCTTAGTATTTTGCCAAAACTGTGTCTTTTTAAAAACAATGTTTTTCTACTTCTGTTGTTTTTTTAATAGCGCCACTTCTGACATGTGTTTGCTGCCCCTAGTGGTGATACATGTGTCATTTCCAACTCTGAGTAAGATTAAGAAAACACAACAGCTGTTACCAACAGTAACACTGAAATAGGGGTTTCCTTTTCAAAGATGTTAATTACAAACATGTTATGCACTCATTAAAAAACGAATACTAGCCAGTATATTGGTTTTAGAATCTTTAAACTCCGATATTTACAACTTTTCAGAGATTAGCTGCCACCCTGCCTCGACTCCAACAAATAATAAAAAATGAAAAAACACCACATCATTAACTAATGATTATTTTCATCACTCATTAATCTCTCAATAATTTTGATCTTTCAGCCTATTAAATGTCAGAAAATAATGAAAAAGCCATCCCCTTCAAATGAAATATTCAGTTTACCCAGATATAAAACAGAGGAAAGCTGCAACCATAGAATCAGTGGAGTCATTTTCTATAGACTAATTGTTTTCACACTAATCAAAAAATTTAATTACATTTTAAGCAGAAGGCAGCACTGAAAAGCCACAAGTTACCAGTTACAGAGTTACTGGCGATCTGTGCGTGTTGCAATCAGCAGCAGATAACGAGGAGGCAGCACACACATTTTCTTCCCTCTCCTTCTTACCCTCCAGAAAGGTTTCCATGGCAGCGCTGTGGGTCATGTTGATTGGTCCTCGTCCAGAGTAGGAGGTGAGGGTGGGGTCGGCGCCGCAGGCCAGCAGTAAACGCACGACCTCCACGTGGTCGTTCTCCACTGCGTCGTGCAGAGGTCTGAAACAGAAAACAGTCAAAGGAAATATTAATAAAAGTGTTTCTTCACAGCTCTGCACAGCAGGTCAACCAATTTATTAATGTCTCTGGTGTCAGTTTGTTAGTTGCTTCTCTGTTTTACATCAAAATAAACTGAATCTCTTTGGGTTTTGGACCAGACAAAACAAGACATTTGAATCTCACCTTGAGATTTGAGAAACTGTGATGTAAAATTTTATAAACAAATAATAGGAAATAGTTAAATGCAGCCATGAAACAAACACAAAATAACATAAAAGGATCTAATTGAAAAGTCTTCTGTTAAATGTGTGTGGGTAAAGGTGAGGTCCACCACAAGGTGCTATATTATCAATTGTTTTGCTGTGTCAACATTAAGAAGATTTGTTTATATGCAGATGATACAGTTATCTACATAGTAGTCCCATCTGAATGAAGCTATTACCCACCTCCAGACTGCATTTATAACACTAAAGTTATCAATCATGGAACAATCATGCTCATTTGCATACAATGTTGTACTTTTAAAGTAATTTTATGCAGAAATAGAATATCAGATTCCACCTTAAAGACTCCACCAAATATTCCAGAAATATGACATTACACCTTAATGTCAGCTACGAAGGTAATCACCACCAATAATTAATTAACATAAAAAGAATAGAAGAGCATTTTTAATTGCTGCTTATTTGATGTTGATTTGATATTTTAGTCCTGGACAGCTGTCAGACTCTGAGCCTAGCTGGCATAAACTTGCAACGACTCGTACCTGGTTCCATCCTGAGCGCTGCAGTTGACGTCAGCTCCATGATCCACCAGGTGGCGTACAATCCCCAGCCAGCCACGGGCGCAGGCCTCATGCAGGGCGCAGTACCCAGCGTTGTCTCGATGGTTCACGTCACAGATGCGTCGCTCCAGACAGTACAGCACCACCTCCTGGACACAAGGACACACATGGACACCAATGACATGAGAGCCTTTCAAGTAGGGCTGATGGACGATGCCATCGTCCCATCGGCGATGGCTGACAGACATCATGACGTTGAGCCGGCATCGTGATTGTAAAACCCTGCCCCCCAAGAAAAAAACGTTCAAATTTTCACATTATACCACCCTGTGAAAGCAGATTTTAATGACCACATGTCCAACATTCTTATTATTGTTTTTAAGAATGCTTTGCACCTGCCTTGGAGTTCTCTTCTCCCCACACTCTGACATACCTCAGGTAAACACCCTGGCTTGCCCCACCTCTCTCTGCCCCCCGTCTGCTCCATTTTCTCCATCAGCAGTATGTTTTATAAAGTTGCCTAAAAGACTGAGAACTCTTTTTTCCGTATATTTCCACCCGCGATCCGTTATCACGGCAGCAGGTGAGCCGCACGTTGGCTTATTAATGACATAGCCTATCAAACAACTGAAACCAACATCTGCACCCTGTGTGTTCACCGTTGCTTTACCTGGACCGCGACCAATTTTTTTAACGAGTGAAGTCTGTACGAGAACACATGCACATAAGACGACTGCTGCCCCCGCGCCCCCGATGACATCGTCCATCCCGATGTTTCATCGCAGACATTGTCTGATGGAAATTTTGTAGACATCGCCCAACCCTACTCCACAGGCAAAATTGTTCACACTTAAGTAGATACCATGCTCACCGTTATGAATAGGGATGGGAATCGATACCTGGTATCCTGTTCCAAAATTTCTTAAAAGTCCAAAATCAATATGGTCCAAGTTCTCATTACTGCTGTCGAAGTAAGTTACCTGCAGGCAGTGAATAACAGCAGAGAGGAGGAGGAAGAAGGACTGACACTAACTGATGTCTGAGTTTTTCATTATTTCTAAACGTCACTCAGTATTGTGATGTTGGATATTGAGTTTACATAGTGACTTTGCTGTTGTAAATGTTGCTGCTCAAGAAACAATATTAAGTTGTATTTAAAATTTTCAATTCTATTCCTGTAGTAAATTTTAAAACAACCAGGCATCTAATATGCACACTTCATTATTTGCTTATTTATTGAAAGTCATATTGTCATCTCAATATATAACAATGTTATCGCACATCGCAGATTTTCCTCATATCATGCAGGCCTACCTTCGCCCCTCGTTTGCATCATTTCTAATTTTGTCTGTTGGTTTCTTGCTAGGATGGCTGAGCATGTAAAATGATCAAAGGCTTGACTACATTTCACTAAAGCCAAAGATAAGGAGGAAGTAAAATGCCATTTTAAGTTATTTTATTTTTAAGGAAGAAAAACACAACGTCAAAGGACATCAGTTAAAGGAGAAATGCAGTAGCTTCGACTGTCCTTGAGTAGAACACCACCAAATCTGCCTGCCATTGGGTCTCGTCTTACAAAATAATAGAAAAGTCTTGATAAAGACTCCGACCGTTAAGCAGTATTTCGGTGTGGAAATACTATAAAAGTAGCACTCTCTCACTCTCTCTCCTTCACCCCCAACCGGTTGAGGTAGATGGCCGCCCACCCTGAGCCATGGTTCAGCTTGAGGTTTCTGCCTCTTAAACAAAGTTTTACCTTTCCACTGCCGCCAAGTGCTTGCTTATGGTGGGAACTTTCAACACATCATCATCATCTTGGTGCATCAATAACCAATGCTTTATGACACAGAGAAAAAAACTTATCCATTTGACACAAAAGGTACCCTTCAGCATCCATATGAAACACCACAGTTTGAGCACCAACTGAAACAGAAGAAGAACAAGCAAATTACTGGTAAAAGAGAAGTTCCACCTTAAGAGAAGAAGCCAAAGAGAGGACCCCCCCCCCCGCTCTCTCGAAATGATTGCAGCTTGAAAAAAAAATGTGTGTCGTGATGGATGACGGCTTCATTTGCAAACTGAGCTCGTTAGCTTCACCGCTGCACCTCAACAAGAGAGTGAGAGAGAGAGGGAGCAAGCGAGGCAGGGTGACACTTGTGAGCCCTGACAAGAGCTGTCACACTGCACATGAAATATTCAGATTGTGTGTGTGTGGTTTTCACAAATGCCTGCACATACACACTCCAAATGATTTTCAGACGTCAACTGAATTTCAATAAAGGGCATCTGTGGAGACTCAGTGCTGTAACTTTAATGCCACAGGTGTGAGTCCAGCTGATGATTCCTGCTGTAAAAAAGCCTTTCCTGAAGGTGGCAGGGAGGTCACAGAGTCATTAAAATGTAAAGGGTTCACCCTCTGGGGAGAAGGACTGATCAAGACATTAGATGTTAATGTGATGGATAGCTGCTGATGTATGTTGAAATCTTCAAAGAGAAATTAGGTAAAAACTTGAGTTCTACTCAGAATTTCTTTTGTCAAGAGGTAAAATAAGGTTTCTTCTCAAGTAAAATTATGTTTTTTGCCGGGGTAAAATAAGGATTCTTTTCAGGTTAAAACAAAGTTGCTTCTCAGTGTAAAACAAGGTTTCTTCTCAGTGTAAAAAGAGGTTTTCTCACAGGGTAAAATGAGGTTTCTTCTCAGGATAAATGAGGCTTCTCCTCAGGGTAAATGAGGATTCTCCTCAGGGTAAAATGAGGTTTCTCCTCAGGGTGAATTGAGGTTAGTTCTCGGGGTAAAATTAGTTTTTTTCTCTGGGTAACATGAGATTTCTCCTCGGGGTAAAATGAGATTTCTTCTCAGTGTAAAAACAGATTCCCTAACAGGGTAAAATGAGGTTTCTTCTCAGTGTAAAAACAGATTCCCTAACAGGGTAAAATGAGGTTTCTCCTCAGGGTAAAATGAGGTTTCTTCCCTGGTAAAATGAGGTTTCTCCTCAGGGTAAAATGAGATTTCTTCTCGGGGTAAAATGAGGTTTCTTCTCAGTGTAAAAAGAGATTCCCTCACAGGGTAAATGAGGTTTCTTCTCGGGGTAAAATGAGGTTTCTTCTCAGTGTAAAAAGAGATTCCCTCACAGGGTAAAATGAGGTTTCTCCTCAGGGTAAAATGAGATTTCTTCTCGGGGTAAAATGAGGTTTCTTCTCAGTGTAAAAGAGATTCCCTCACAGGGTAAAATGAGGTTTCTTCTCGTGGTAAAATGAGGTTTCTTCTCAGTGTAAAAAGAGATTCCCTCACAGGGTAAAATGAGGTTTCTTCTCGGGGTAAAATGAGGTTTCTTCTCAGTGTAAAAAGAGATTCCCTCACAGGGTAAAATGAGGTTTCTTCTCAGTGTAAAAAGAGATTCCCTCACAGGGTAAAATGAGGTTTCTTCTCAGGGTAAAATGAGGTTTCTTCTCAAGGTAAAATGAGGTTTCTTCTCAAGGTAAAATGAGGTTTCTTCTCAGTGTAAAAAGAGATTCCCTCACAGGGTAAAATGAGGTTTCTTCTCAGGGTAAAATGAGGTTTCTTCTCAAGGTAAAATGAGGTTTCTCCTCAGGGTGAAAATGAGGTTAGTTCTCGGGGTAAAATAAAAAATTTTTGTCTGGGTAACATGAGGTTTCTCCTCTGGATAAAATGAGGTTTCTTCTCAAGGTAAAATGAGTGCAGTTTCAAATGAAACGATGGGATGAGGAAAACAGGTTTATAATTTTTTCCTTTCTTGACATTTTGTGTTTATTTTGTATTTTTATTAAACAGAAAATGCTACGAAAGTTTGCGCATTCACGGCTTGTACACATTTCCCAGCTAAAACTATGGGGGAGGCCAGAGCTACACTATCGGACTATCACCAAAGTGGTATTAAGACACAGAACAGGCCGGCGGTTGGTGGTTAGCATGCTAACTATAGTGGATATCTACGCAGGACAACACATAGACATCTTTGACACGACATCAGAACTTTTACTTGTTCACATTCTGTCTGATCTGGAAACGAAACTGATTAGCGATATGATCAATTCAGCTAACGTGTACAAATCTAAATCACATTGATTGGTTACAGTAAGTACATTTAGCCTAAAAACTAATAATTTCTAATAACAATAATTATTTTAAAAGAGATTTTTACAAAACAATCAATTGTACAGTGAAATCTCTCTCTCTCTCTTATGGGATAGCTTTTATTCATGTTGTCATGTCATGTGTTCCTTTTCTTTATCTGAACAAGTTCTAATGTCAGAGAGGTTCAGATTGCTGTGAGCTTTGAAGGAAGGCCATCAAACAGCTCTTCTCCAGTACACTATGCTTTTAGCTAGCTACCCTGATGATGAGTAATAGTGTAAAACAATTAGTGAATGTCCTTTCATTTTGAAGTAAAAAAATATTCTAAAATTCAATCACTTACACTAATACACAAAGAATTTCTGCACACATACTTCCTGTTCACAAACCAACAAAACCTTTTCTGAATAAAACCAACGCTGCAGTCGCCCTTTGACCCCACCCACTCCACCTGCTCACACATCTGGGTGTGTTTCTGACTTTTTTACCTCATATCCCAGGCGGGCGGCACGCTGCAGCAGTGTCTCTCCAGCATTTTTGTTCACAATAAGTCGGCGGACTTCAGGAGGGGCGGGCCGGGTGATGTGTGTGTGATGCGGTGAGGGAGCGAGACGGCCAGGGGAGCGAGACGGGTCAGACAGAGACACCTGTGTGGAGAAAGAGAGACATTTAAAGTTATTAGCATGCACTCGAGGATTGTTTTTATTTCCCACAAAGCAATTAAACACACACAAAAAACAGCCGCTTGCTCTCTTTCTACATCCATCACTGTCAGATGTTTTCCCTTAAACACACACACACACAGATACACAGATACACACAGTCCTAGTTTTCCAGGCTTGGATGAAAATAGCGCTGTCACCACCTCCGCTCCCAAGCCTCTGTTTTTGTGTGTATAAGTGTGTGTATGTGTGAGCGCTATAGATAGATAGAGAGAGAGAGAGAGAAAGAGAGAGAGAGAGAGAGAGATGTGTGTGCGCGCGCGTTTGAAGCCCGAGGCTGATGACAGAAAGCTCAGGAGGAGAAGATGGAGGAGGAGAAGAGGAGGGAGGAGGATTCCTCTTAAAGTAAAAGACAGAGCGAGGGAGAAACAAATGAGAAGTCTTCACTGTCTGCATGCCTAGCTCGCTTTCTCCCACTTTATTTTGTTTCCTCAAGCTCATTGTTGCATGATGTTGCGTGTTATTGTCATTCAGGATCAGACTTTGACTCTACAGTAGAAGAAAGAACAGCTTCTCCCAGGACCAGTAATGTTTCTGTCTCCTGAGGAGTTCCCCATGGCTCTGTTTTAGGTCCTCTTTTCTTTATGTGTCCTCTCACTGAGCTCTTTTGTTCAAACATATCACCTAACACTGTTCATGTCAGACACAACACGACATCAACCAGATATCAAACTGGCCTGACAGATGCGATCTATTGCAGTTTTTTGATTGACCCTCGCTGTCTCTGTCGCTACAGTTATCTAGCTAGCTTAGTGTTTCCATTGGTAATGCATTTACATTATTTAATTTTCTCTTCTGTGACGGCAAACGCAAAAACTTTCAGTAACTATTCTGCTTAAATAGCTATGTTACATGTGCATATGCAACTTAACTACGCCTCACGATGTAAATATTTCTTGAGAAGATTCAACTGGAAAATTCTGATTCGGGTACAGACCTAGTACTTTTAGTACTAACACTAGCAGTGCCGCTAAACCAACAAAAGGAAGTTCTTTTTCTGCAGCGAGTTAATTATTTTGACATCAGGGTTAATGTGTGTGTGACAGACGCTTGTGGTAATAAATGACTGCGGCGCCCAGCAGCCTCTAGAGAGCCTCTAACGTCCATCACCAGGGCTTCCAGGTGCAGGAGCGCCTTGCTCAGCGGCTCTGCGGCAGAATTTGAACCAGACACCTTTCAGATTTAAGAGGAATCAGCACACACTGACTGATTTCTACCATATTACATTCAAAACTCACCTTAAATTTTGGTAACTTGATTCCATATAGTATGTTTGTCCTCTGGAGTTAAAATGTGTTTTTGTGCTTAAATGGAGGCAAATTTTAAAATTTTTATTTCATATTTTTCTTCATGAAAGCTCAAATTAATTGAATTTGTGTGTATTTTCTAAACAAGGATAATCAGAGGCAGGTAGAAACGAATGGAAAGCTGCATCGCTGAGCTGCTGACGCCACGTCAACCGTCTCCGCCGCTTAGCAGCCAGACAGCATGTGCGTGTTAATGTGTTTGTGTGTGTAATGTGTGTGCGCAGGCGTCTGTCAAACGAAGCAGCTCACCGCCACGCATCGGCAAACAGGATGCGAGCTTTGCCCTGGAGGTGTGTGTGTGTGTGTGTTTTGGTGTGTGTGTTTTCTAGCGCAGCAGGCTCAGAAAAGGAGGAGGAGGTTCGAGCGAGAGCCGAGCGAAAGAGAGCGTGAGAGAGAGGCAGACAGCGTGTGTGTGTTAAGTGTGTGTTTTGGTGTGTGTGTGTGAGTCCTCGCTGCCCTGAGGAAATCTCCGGTGCAGCAGCTGTCAAAACGGCACAAGCCGCCGCCGCACACACACACACACACACACACACACACACACACACACACACACACACACACACACAGAGTACATGTGGAGAATATTATTCTTCCTCCCATAACCTTCAATCACTCCATCCCTCCCTCCTTCGCTAGCTCGCTCTCGCGTTCACTTTAATCTGCAGTGAATTGAATTACCCTCACACACGCACACACGCGCACACACACTAAGTAAACACACACACACACACACACACAGTCCCTGCTGAGTTTTCCCAGCGAGCTCCAATCAGGACGATAATTGCAACGATTAACAGAGAGGGACGAAAGAAAGGAAGGAGGAAAAACAGAAATAAAACAGAAGAATTGACTTGTGGTTTTGACTGTTTGGCATTTTCACAAAAAAACATCAAAATCTTACAATACTTGTTAATGTAACATTGTATTGTTTCATCTCTGTAACTGTCACCTCTGCGTTTCAACTCTGGATATTTAAGTATAAGCGTGTAAAAATTAAATCACAAAAGTTATTCCACATGTAAATTAGGTCGGTATCAAACCTCAATACTGTTCAGGTACCGACCAAAATGTGTCGGAGCAGGGCTGTAGCACTCGAGTCAGGTCTCGAGGCGTTTCTTTCTCTTGAATCAGTCTCAGTCTTGTTGATATTTTTACTCTGACTTGTCAAAGGTTCGCTCTTGTTGCCATCTCTCGTTGTTTTGAGTCATAAGAACTGTTTGGTCTGTTGTTTTAACATGTCTCAAGGTTTTCTTGACCAGGACTCGTGGTGCAGTAGGTATCTTGACCGGGACTCTTAGTCCTGTGGGTGTCTTGCCCGGGACTCTAGGTCTCATGGGTGTCTTGACCGGGACTCTTGGTCTCATGGGTGTCTTGACCGGGACTCTTGGTCTCTTCTGTATCTTCCTGGGGACGCCAGGTATCATGGGTGTCTTGACCGGGACTCTTGGTCTCCTCTGTATCTTCCCCGGGACGCCAGGTCTCATGGGTGTCTTGACCGGGACTCTTGGTCTCCTCTGTATCTTCCCCGGGACGCCAGGTCTTATGGGTATCTTGACCGGGACTCTTGGTCACCTCTGTATCTTCCCCGGGACGCCAGGTCTCATGGGTGTCTTGACCGGGACTCTTGGTCTCCTCTGTATCTTCCCCGGGACGCCAGGTCTCATGGGTGTCTTGACCGGGACTCTTGGTCTCATGGGTATCTTGACCGGGACTCTTGGTCTCCTCTGTATCTTGTCCGGGACTCTAGGTCTTATGGGTATCTTCCCCGGGATTGTTGGTCTCCTGGGTATCTTGACCGGGACTGTTGGTCTCCTGGGTATCTTGACTGGGACTCTTGGTCTCCTCTGTATCTTCCCCGGGACTCTAGGTCTTATGGGTATCTTGACCGGGACTCTTGGTCTCCTCTGTATCTTGACCGGGACTGTTGGTCTCCTGGGTATCTTGACCGGGACTCTTGGTCTCATGGGTGTCTTGACCGGGACTCTTGGTCTCCTGGGTATCTTGACCGGGACTCTTGGTCTCCTGGGTATCTTCCCCGGGACTCTTGGTCTCCTGGGTATCTTCCCCGGGACTCTAGGTCTTATGGGTATCTTGACCGGGACTGTTGGTCTCCTGGGTATCTTGACCGGGACTCTTGGTCTCCTGGGTATCTTGACCGGGACTCTTGGTCTCCTGGGTATCTTGACCGGGACTCTTGGTCTCCTGGGTGTCTTGACCGGGACTCTTGGTCTCCTGGGTGTCTTGACCGGGACTCTTGGTCTCCTGGGTATCTTGACCGGGACTCTTGGTCTCCTGGGTATCTTGACCGGGACTCTTGGTCTCCTGGGTATCTTCCCCGGGACTCTAGGTCTTATGGGTATCTTGACCGGGACTCTTGGTCTCCTGGGTATCTTGACCGGGACTCTTGGTCTCCTGGGTATCTTGACCGGGACTCTTGGTCTCCTGGGTGTCTTGACCGGGACTCTTGGTCTCCTGGGTATCTTGACCGGGACTCTTGGTCTCCTGGGTATCTTGACCGGGACTCTTGGTCTCCTGGGTGTCTTGACCGGGACTCTTGGTCTCCTGGGTGTCTTGACCGGGACTCTTGGTCTCCTGGGTATCTTGACCCGGAATAGGTCCCTTTGTTTATTTTGCAATTTTATTGCTTTTTGGCAGTACTGGATTTTTTCCAGGGTCACCATCAGAACAAAGGAAACAGTGATAATGATCATTTTGCTTCTTAATGAAAGAAGGTTCTGGGTTCAGACAGTTTTGGTGAGGCGATGGGTGGATGGTGAGTTTGATGTCAGACCTAAAGATTTTACGTTATAAATTTGGATTAAACTGCTGCAGACTGAGTCAAATGCTCTGCATTGTTTAAATATTAATTATATTTATATTAATATATATTATTTAACATTTTAACTGTTTGCTGTAAAACATCAGCAACATCAGAATCAGAGACTCTGAGCTGAATTCTCAGCTGTTTCCGTGTGTTTCCAAGAGCACATGGGAAAACAAACGCTCCTGAATTTCCCCTGAGAGGATGTGCCTTCACGCATCTCCATACCAGAGGAAGAAAACAAGCGAGTCCACGTCTGATCTGCAGATGCGTTTGATTTGAGTCTTGCATGCTCTGAACCGTACATTCTCCTGTTTTCGGTTTGGGTGGTTTTTGCCTTAGTTTTGTTGTAAATGTGAATTGATATGAAGCAAGAAACTAAGCGCCCCCCCCCCACATTCTCTCCTGGGTGTCTGTGCCGGTGCACTGAAGCTTGTGGGTGTCAGTTTGAGTCACATCATTCGACTCTTTTTTTTACCCCAACTGTCTAAAAAGTGAAATTAAAAAAGTTTAGCAAAAACACTAAAGCAAGCACAGGCATCAGGGGGAAAGAGTGCTGATTAAATAAGAGTAGCTAAGCCTCAAAACATTCTCGCTTCTTTACAAGTATTCATGTAGACAAGCAGCATGTGTCATATGTGTGCTTTGTGTGAAGCTGGACGACACAGAGCGGCCCTGGGCGAAAGCTAGATATGTTCCTTGAGTTTTATTTTGCACAATGTAAACACAACTAACACTCGAGGAGGAAACACTGAAGATTATTGGAGGTGGGCAACTCACAACGTCAACGCAGAAAATGTCAACAATGTTAACTTGCGTTAACTGGCCCTTTAAGGACTGTGAAACTTAACGATAATCATGTGAAAGTTTCCGCCACCACAGTCATCAAACTAAAAACGCTCCTCACTCACCTTTCCACTCTCCTCCTCATTGTCGGTTTCACCCCTGTCTCTGCCCTCGTCCCTTGCCGTCTCTCCTCCCGTGTGCTTGGTCTTGCAGGAACGCTTGCCTTTCGGCTTGTTGAGGTCGTCATCCTGGCATCGGAAGGGATGGGGGTCAGGTGAGGAAGAGGCAGAAGGAAGAGGAGATAAGGAATGGAGGAAAGTGGAAACCCTGCGGCTCTCCCTCAGCTTCTGATGCTTGTCCTGGAGGCGGGAGGAGGCGAGCGAGGATGCAGGGGAAGGTTGACGGGGGGCGGAGCTGCACAGCTGCGGAGGGAGATGGGCGGGAGAGGAGGGCGGAGCCACGTGGAAAACTGAAAGAAAGACACGTAGAAAGAAGAAGTCAGTACCCATTGCTTTTACGCCCAATACATTACTGCTGGCCTACAGCCATGCTAGCATCTTTGTGAGGCTTTGAGCTAAATGCTAACATCAGCCTGCTATCATGCTCAATACGTCAATGCTAACTTGCCGATGTTTAGCTGGCAGCTTAGTTAACGTGTTGGCATGCTACCAATTCACGTTGAACACACAGTACAGCTGAGGATGATGGGAATGTTGTTAGTTCTGCAGGTGTTTGGTGTTATTATCAGGCTGCTCGAAAAAGTCCATTAAGACTCTTCAGCTGATCCAGAATGCTGCAGCACGTTTTCAACAGGAACCAGGAAAAGAGATCACATTTCTCCTGTTTTAGCTTCTCTGCATTGGCTTCCAGTAAAATCCAGAATAGAATTTAAAATCATTCTTCTTACCTACAAAGCTCTTAATGGTCAGGCACCATCTTATCTTAAAGAGCTCACAGTACCTTACTACCCCACCAGAGCACTGCGCTCCCAGAATGCAGGGTTACTTGTGGTTCCTAGAGTCTCCAAAAGTAGACTAGGAGCCAGAGCGTTCAGCTATCAAGCTCCTCTCCTGTGGAACCAGGTTCCAGTTTGGGTTCAGGAGGCAGACACCATCTCCACATTTAAGAGTAGGCTTAAGACTTTCCTCTTTGATAAAGCTTATAGTTAGGGCTGGCTCAGGTGAGTCCTGAACCATCCCTTAGTTATGCTGCTATAGGCCTAGACTGCCGGGGGATTTCCCATGATGCACTGAGCTCCTCTCTCCTCTACTTTCTCTCCCTCTGTATGCAACCTCATCCCATTATTGCATGTTACTAACACAACTTCTCCCCTTTCTGGTAGTTTTGTGCTTTCTCGTCTCTCTCCTCTCTCCTATCACTTCCTGCAGGTTTTCTGGCTCTGGAGCTGTGGAGTCTGGATCTGTGGTTGCGGGTCACCTGCTGCCCCCGTGTTCCTGCTCGACACCCTCTGATACAACAACTATTGTTACTAGTCTTATTGTTATTATTGTTATTATAATCATTAACATTACGATGGTTACCATTAACACTATTATAAATATCTGTACCATTTTTCATTTAGTCTATAGCAACATCACCTTTACTGTGTGTACCTCTGTGTGTATATTGTGTAGGCTGCCTCCCTCCCCTTACATCTCTCTCTCCTTACATCTCTCTCTCCTTCTCTCTTTCTCTCTCTTTCTCTCTCTCTCTCTCTCCCTCTCTCCCTCTCTCTCTCCTTCACCCCCAACCGGTGGAGGCAGATGGCCGCCCACCCTGAGTCATGGTTCTGCTCGAGGTTTCTGCCTCTTAAAGGAAGTTTTTCCTTGCCTCTGTCTCCTAGTGCTGCTCTTGGTGGGAACTGTTGGGCTTCTGTAAATATCATCACAGAGTACGGTCTAGACCTGCTCTTTTATGAAAAGCGCTGTGAGATAACTGTTGTTGTGATTTGGCGCTATATAAATAAAATTGAATTGAATTGAATTGAATTGAACAGGTTGACCTGATGGTGGCGCTAGAGGACAAGTCAGAGGATCACCAAAGTTACTACAGTTCATCCTGAGGGAGACAATTCACAAATGTAAAATACCTATTTTCTAAATATTAATTGAAAACGTAAAGTTGGCGGAATGCCAAAGTGAGGAAGTGCAGCACCCGGACGGTCTGTGGCGTGCACATGACAGAGACAGTAGCTGAGCGAGGAATCCAAGCGGCTCCCTCTGCATTCAAGCTGGCGTATGGAAGCACTTCTGCTGCTGTAAAACACATCAAACATGAGAAACCGCACACTTCCACCTGGAGGAGGAAGAAAAACACCCAGTTGTAGTTGTTCACAACCAGACGACCATTGAGCAAACGATTTCAAAGCTTCCACCAAACATGGAAAGGGCGATTACAGACTCTTTTATTGTCAAGGGTCCTCATCCTCGTAGAGAGCCAAGGCTGTCGCGCTTTAACAGTCAAATTCAATGCTTTTTAAGACTTTTTAAGACCTCAACAAATGTTATTTAACCAAATATGTTGAAAAATGTCTTTAATAGAAAAGAGATGTACAAATGATAAAACATGACTACCCTGTTGCTCTCTGTTTGATTGTCTCTGCTATGAGCTTTGTGTGTTGTGTGCTTTTCCACCTGCAAAAACCCCCTCCCCCCAAAAAAAGATGGACGTTAGCTCTCTTGTGGCAACATGGGCGGTTTATATTTTGGGAGCTGATCGTGTCCGTTTGTGAACGTGAACTCATGTTGTGTTAAACTCAATATAAAAACAAAAACATCAGGAAGGAATCCACGTTATAAAGAAATGTTAGCCAGGAATCGATGCCAGGCGGGACTTCATTTTCCACCCAAGCTGTGGCACCTCTAAAGACAGAGGTAAACATGGATAATACATGAAGGAAAACAAATTACGCTGAAAAGAGACACCTTGGAAAGTTAATATAGGCTGTAGTGATAGATCATTTTTTAATCCATTAAACCCGCATCTGCCGATGTTGAAATATGACGCAGCCAGACATCAACATCTGCAGCTAACGTAACCTAAAACTTGTATTAATTTGTGAAGTCTCGCGTTGTCCAATAGTAAATGAATCAAACAAATAAACGGTAATTAGACGTTTTATGGTAGGCCACTGTGCATGACAATTTTCAGGCCAGCCTTAAACACACTATCTGCAAATTTAAGACAATTTATGATCTTCCTTTTCTTATTTAAGACCTTGTAAGACTTTTTAAGGAGCTGCGAGAACCCTGATGTCGGGCACTTTGGAGCCAAGACACAACGTCCAGTCTCAGAGATATTTTACTGACACAGCGATCCCCACGCTCTACAACGAGGCCAAAGCTGAATCACTGGAGAACGCGGCAAGGATAGCTGTAACGTGCCACAAAACCTTAAGACCGTAACTGGGCATTTTATCACTAATGAGTGGCAGCTAGCATCTCATGTGCTCCAAGAGAATCAGAGTCACACTGGTGCAAACATGTGCTGGCGAATGTTACCTTACAGTTGACTTGCCACATCGCTCCCATTCTCTTTTATTTATAAAAGATACTTGAATTAAATTCATAATGGATCATTACAAATACTTTGCTTTGAAAGAACCAAAGAAGACGCTCTGAAGATGCATCAATAATCATCAAATCGCACCCCGACCCAACAGTTGTTTGTCTGCTCTACGTCTTTATCTGAGATTTCTCAGCAGATTAGCTGATGTTTAATCGTGATGGACATGATTATGTTGTTGTCATCTGAAAGTGTAAGTGCGACTGAATACAAACTATGTGTTTTATGTCTGTGTGTTCAGTTATGATTTGAGTCTCAACCTAAAGACTAGCGATATTAAACTGTTCGTGAAGCTTTCACGCCGTCATCCTCTTCTTCTGTGTGTGTACGTGCACAGCCTCCTTCCTGCTCGCCGACAAATGAGCCGCTGTCTGTCCTTCAGCGGGGGACGAGTTAGGTAATAAGAGAAAGGAAAAGAGAGAGAGAGAGAGACGGGAACAAAGAAACACACAGCCTCCTTGCTTGAGTGGAGCAGCAAGCAAGCGGGCGAACGAGGGAGCAGATAATGGGGGAGGGGAGGAAAGAGAGTTTCTATTTTCCATTGCAGACGCCTGCAACACACACAGAACCAGAGACCTGTGTAAATGCAGCGCTGTGCACACACAGCTCCTGAATTATTCATGAGTCTGGACACACACAGATGAATTAACATATACGGCACATAATGAAGGTGTGTTTGTGTGTGAAGCTGCTTAATAGGGATTTATCATTCACACATTCACACTCTGGTCATCTGATGTGTGTGCGCTCCTCCGGGCGTTTCGCGGTAAACCTCTGATCATCAAAGTGCAAACATTTATTGTTTTTTCAAGCATGACATCATCGTTATCGTGAACTCCAGGCCACGCCCCCCTGCACATCTGGTGAAGTCCGACGGCGTTTTTGTTGTGTTCATGAATTTCCGTGTAGGAATTTTCTAAGCAATTCTCTCGTTGCTTTTTCGACACCAGATTGTAGAGAAAAAATATTTTACTATACACTGCTTTACCATTTTTTTTAAAAAAGCCAGTGAATGTCACAAATGTGCATCAGTGGACAAAGTACTCAGATCTTTTACCTAAAAGTAGCGCTGAACGATATGTTATCACGATCAAAAGTTTCATACCTCTCGATATCAATAATTATCACGATACCTATCAATTTGTTATGTCTTTCGAGTTTAAAGGCTGATTTTTGCTCCTGAGTGAAAGTTAATTATGGTTTAAACTCTTCTTTCTGGTCAACACTTGAGGCCAAACAGTGGATCACTTCACAAACCTGAGGTAGAACACTCAAAACTATTGTGATAAAATCTTTGTCAACAAATATGTACGAGTAAAAAAAAGCTTTTTTCAGTCTTTTTTCCTCAATCTTAATAAAAATTGAGCCGTAATTCATGTATGATTCAAGTGAATAAAATAAAAAATTTGATTGAATATTTATTGAACATTTGTTATATATATATATATATTATATCACAATGACAAAAGGTTTTATTGTCCAGCCCTACTAAAAAGTAGAAAAACTACATTGGAAACAAACCCTGTTACAAGTAAATTCAACATTCTACTTGAATAAAAGTACAAAAGTAGGATAAATATCCCCTTTCTTTAAATTAAGTTGGGTTATATTGAGTATTCCAGGTCCTGAAAGATGTTTTTTTATGCACAAGATAATAATTTGTAAAACAAGTGATTATAGAAGAAGAAAAGCGGATTTGTTCAATGTGCAGTTTGACTTCGGTTTCTTCTTTTTACTGGTAACTGCACAACACTTCATTTAGAGCTAAAAATGGACCAAGTCCGCTGTTCACATATAAAACATTTAGATTAGTTACTTGGAGTGTCCAGTTCGTCTGAAATGTGTTATCTGAAAGAATATAATACCCCCAGGTATTTACCCCATTGATGCTGTATGTATCTTTTGTCTCTTGTAGAGCTCTTACTTTTTAGATGTTTTGAATGACACAGAAATAAAAACTAAAATTAATTTGTTGTTTTGAGAGTCATAAGAGCCGTTTGGTCCGTTGTTTTAACATGTCTCAAGGTTTTCTTGACCAGGACTCGTGGTCTCCTGGATAATTAAATAACTAAAATTGTGCATATTCTTATGGTAAACTTCTGTGTTATTGTTTAGATCACTTTTTGTGTGACCCAGCAAGGTTTCTGATTCTGAGGTGAGGTACAAAGAACAATTATCTGTATCTGCTGGGCTAAATGTTCTGGGGGGAAATAATAGTTTGGAAATGACATGCAGGATATATCGAGAAGCCACCGCTTGTTCAACGCCAGGTTTGGATTTAATTGGATTTATTTAGTTTAACTTGAGTGAAGCGGCATCCTGACGGGAACATGTGGAGCCTCAGAACGCAGCGTTCAACAAACAGAAGAAGAGGAGGAGGAGGAGGCTGCTAACTCATTCCCTACGCATTACTGTGTGTGTGTGTGTGACAGCTCCATCTGGGAGATGTTAGACAGCTATTAGCACGCCACGGGTTCACACACACGAGCGCGTCAGACAACACACACACCGTCGGTTTTATTCCACTCGTGAGCTCCGACAATCGAGAGAGAGGAAAAAGAGACGAGGGAGAGACGAGAGGGGGGGAGGAGGAGGAGGAGAGATGTGGAGAAGCGATGACAGCGGAGAGACGAGAAGATTTCAGCAGCGGCAGAAACACTTTTTGAACTCACAGCTGCTGCCTTCAGAATAAAAGTTTCACTAAAAATCTGCTCCTCTAATGCTGAACATATAAAATTAGCTTATCAAATGTATCTTTTTAAAATATGATTGTTGAGTATTTTATTCATGTATTATTTCTAATTGCCTTATTGTCTCCTTGAATTTATCATCATTACTATTATTTATCTTTTATTTTTACAATAAAGGTATTTTAATTTCCTGATATTGTGTCTGAAGATCCTCTTAAAAACAAAATCACCTCAAGGGGTTTATCCTCAAATTACATTTGAATAAAATATTATTAAAATAAGGGTTAAAAGACTGTGACCAAATACTGCAAATTCTGCAAAAACAAAAAAATCTAAGCAAAATAAGTTAAGGTAAGGTAATGAGATAATCCTGTACTGATCCTCAGAGGGGGTCATCCAGGTGTTATAATAAGTACAGGTAGAGAAAAGTGAAAAATAAATGAAGTATATAAAATACACACATAAACGCAACATAAATATAAATAATATTGGGTAATTTGTTGGTCTTACTTCTTGGGTCGTCCCTCCTCACAAATGTAGGGTCACACCAGCCTCCGTTGACCTCTGACCTCCCCCGGACAGTGGGTACATCCATTCTGAAGTTTTTGTCGACATCCGATAGCCGCTGGCTGGAGGACAGCCATTGGCTGAGGTCCCCGGGGAGGCGGGGCTTATTGAGTCGTAGGCCGTTTAGCTCAATGCAAACCTTCAGCTTTTTCACGTCCTCCAGGGTCGAGTCTGTAATAGATAACAACCAATGAACCATCAGAAGGAATGAAATAACCACCAATTAAAATATAGTCAATGATTGATAAGTAAAACAATATGATAGGTCATCAGGCACTACAGATATACAGTTGTGTGTCATCTGCATAGATATAAAACCTCACACTGTGTTCTTGTATATATGGACTCTGTATAATGAGAACATGAGTGGGCTCAGTATAGAAATACAACCAAATACAAAGTCTTAAATAGATCTTCACCAATACTGACAACTGACCACTGCAGATAATTTAATAGCCAATCAATGATGAGGGAAAAAACAAAAACAAAGGAAAGGTTAGAGAAGAGAAAAAGCCAGTGAATTATTGGAAAACAGAAGGAATAATTATTTTTATTATTAAAAATCAAGAAAGGGAAGAGTACTTTAACTTGCTCAGTGCCCGAAGTCAGTCTACTGACACCGGACAGTTTTTCAGTGGCTGCACAGTAAACGTCAATGTTGCAAATAAATATATATAGAAAGTCAAAGATAGAAGGAAACTAAAATTCAATCCAGCATATTGTACTTTTGAATTCATAAAGAAATGTTTCTTTTTGCCATACTTTGTAACCGTTTGTCGCTTTGCATCGGGCCGAACAAAAACACTTAACTGTGATTTAATGGGCGTATACCACGGCCTGTCGTGACCTATTGCTTATATATATATAATGGTCTTGGTGGTCTCTATAGAGGCCAATCAGAAGAGCCGCCCAGACATAGTGGAGCAAGCAACAGGTAAAGCAAAAGTGAACACACCTGGTTGGTGCTGATGTAATTCGGCACCACGTTGGTTTTGATAGACAAAGTCCAAAAAAGCGAGTTGTGAGTTTTGGGAGACTTTATTAAAGTCAACAGAGCAGACAGACTCAGGGGGAGGGGAACAAGCAATTAACCTGCTGATTATTTTCTCAATTAAGTTTTTGGTCCATACAAGTTTAGAAAATAGAATCCAGTCACAGTTTCTAAAAGCTCAACTTGATGATATTAAATTGCCAACAGTCCAAAACCAAAATATATTCAGTTTACTATCTATGGACAAAGAAAAGGAATAAATATTCACAACTGAAAGGCAGGAATAGGGAATGATGGGCATATTGATTATGAAAATAGTTGACTCAATGTTTCAGCTCTCCAAAAAACACACGTCTAAGACCAGACTCACTCAAAACACCCAAAAAGATCACAACAAGTCGATGATATGTTAGACAAAACATCAAGATTATGGCACAGTTTTAACTACAAAAAACTCTAATTTGTTCATTTCAAAGTACCAATTATATAAATAACTGCTTCCTTAAACGGGGCATCAGTGAGGATAAAATAAAAAGTGTAATAATGTCAGTAAACAGAACCCGAGAGAAACACCATGACGGAAACTCTTACCGTTTGTTAACTTGGTTTTCTTGTTGTGGTTTCCCGTCTGGTCTTCCTCCTCCCTCTCCTCTTCCCTCCCTCTCTTCAGCCGGCTGCTGATGATGCTGCTCTGGTGGAAAGGCTCCAGACTGAAGATACGTCTCCGGTTTATCGACGTGCTGAGATTTGAACCTCCGAGTCCCGGCATGGATGTCGCCGTGGAGGCGTTTCCCTGAAACAGGCCTCTGGCTGTGGACAGGAACTTTATTTGTTGTTGTGGCTGTGAGAGAAAACTCTTCTCCTCTTTCTTCTTCTCCTCCTGCGGACCAACTTCTTCGTTCTTCTTCTGCTCCTCCACTGAATCGTCATCCTTTTCTGGGAGGACAGGGAGATTATCAGAGAGGCGGCACAGAGGCAGGACGGGGAGGCGGCTGTGAGGACAGGAGGGATGGAAATCTACATAGCCAAAGATAAAAACATTATTTTTTTCAGTGTGATCAGACCTCTGTTCTGGATGAAGGGAAAAGTTAATTAACATAAGATCATCAAACTCCAACAGGTAAAATGAAACCAACAGGAGATATGTCAATAAAGCACAGTGTGTACACGCCCACACAGGTGTCCAAGGCCTTTCAGCTGCAAAACTCTGCTTCATGAAGAAACGATAAAACCTGAAGGAAATTCAGAGAAATAAGAGTTCCTGGTGAGTTTAAGATGTTTTCATTTTCTCGCTTTGTCGCATTAAAAATCTCAAGAAACCAAAAGGTTGTCTCCTCAATACAAAAGCTATCTCTATTCTGTTATCTTAATGCAAAAATATTACTTATGTTGAAATAAATAAATAATAAGACAATTAAATACAAGATTATAATCATAATAAAAAACAGCTTTGTTTGTCACAAGTGAATTAATTCTTTATCTAGAGATGATACGATTAAAAACTGCCGCTCTCAACGTTTTGTTCATATTTTACTAAGAAAACAAATCTCAAACACAAGAGGAGGTTTCTATAGCTCTGTTTTACTCAACATGATGGAAAAAAGGTGTAAAGACACATCAACAGGCTGCAGCTTGGACTGTCCATCTTTTTACCTTCCTTATTTTCCTGTCTCTCTCTCTCTTTGCAGCCATATAATCCCATGCTCTCTCTCTCTTTGACTCTGATTCTCAGTGCGTCCTGGTGCTCCCGGACACATTACACGCCATGGCAACAGGCCATCAAAGCCGATCGTCATGGCAACATTGTCCGGGCGCGTGCACTGAACACAACACCCAGAGAGCAGCGGCCGCCGACGTGCTCTTGAGAGACTGAACCTGGAGGTTTTTTTTACCTCTTTAGTACATTAGTTCATTTTCCACTCCTCCTTATTTAATGCTGAACAAATTTTGTGATATATAACTATTTTAATTCTGTTCACAGATTTAAACTTTCTTATACATTAATTTCCTGAAAAGGAGAAAGGCATTAAAAACATAAATGTTTTATATAACACATTTAGAAACGATTGTAAATAGAATATGAAACATACCTTTAAAAAACAAGACAAAGCAATCAAGTCAAAAACACTATCATCATGAACATAAAATAAAGTGGAAGATTAATATTAAAATAGTTTACATTAAGACACTAAGTCTGTCCATGTCTGCGGAAATAAAATATAGTCTAAAGCACAGTGTCTTTATTTTGAGCATCCTGTGAGTGGCGGACTGATGGTCGAAGGTCAAACTCCTCATGAAGTGGGTGATCAATTCAGCCTTACTAGAGGCTGGTCTTACTACATCCCAAGTCTCTCTATACACAACTCATCTCAACCAGCTTGTTAGCGTTCAGGTTCAGATGCTTTTGGCTTGAGCTTCTTTTGAAATAGATTATGCTTCCTCATCCTGAGGAGAACCACAAGGTTCCACATTAGGTCCTTTTTCATTTACTTTTAAAACGCTTTCTCTGTCTTCTGTTTCTTGAAAATACGTCATCTTTAACAATATGCAGATGATACTCTGCTTTATATACAGCTGTTGTTACTAGTCGCTGTGGATAATTTACACATGGACCAGGTAAAGCAGCAGTGAACACTAAATATTCATTTCAGTTGTTTGAACGCTACGTCATTAATAAGCCGAGTCTTTTTGGCAACTTTATAAAACATACTGCTGATGTAGAAAATGGAGCAGACAGAGAGGGGTGGGGAAAGCCGGGGTGTTTACCTGAGGTGTAGGTGTGTGTTCGTGGTCATTAAAACCTGCTTTCACAGGGTGGTATAGTGTGAACATTTGAGATTTTTTTTCCTGGGGGGGGGGGTTTACAATCACGATGCCGGCTAAAAGTTGTGATTTCTGTCGCCGATGGTCTATCGCCTCAACCCTAGTTCCTATCCAACTGTTCTGATCCATTACAATTACACTTGAGTCTCAAGTTTTTCAAAACACAATAAATTATATTAAATGCTCAGCCCTTGTTCAGCCCGAACACATTTTTCAGGTGCTGCAATCAGATATAAAGCCAATGCAAAGACGCAAGGGGAAAATAATTTGCCCTGGGTGGTGTGACTAAAGTTTAAAATAGTTGCTGTTTGAACATTGGCTGCTTAAACACCATAGTGGCCAATTTTGTGCTAAAAAAAGAGGCAAAAATAAGCTTGTTTGAACGTCTCTCATCTGTAATGGGATCAGTTTAGCTGGAAACCTGAAAATACCTTGATTCTGTCATTTCCTGCTTTGAGATGTGGACTAATAATTAAGCCCTGATTTTAAACTGATCACAAAACACACCAAATTGGGCTTTTTACACTAAAAGGTGGTTCTAAGTGGTTTTGTGGACAAGAAAGAAACTAGAACCAGTTTGTGTTTCAGGTGTGTAAATGTGTGTGTGTTTGTACGTGTATATGTGTGTCTGAAAGTGCACACTTGGCTTCCTAGAAAAAACGAGGGCAGCAGTGTGCTCGGCTTAAAGTGAGCGAAGTGCACCGAGAGTTCAAATGTGTGTGTATGACAGAAATACACACACACACACACACACAGAGTGCACAAAAAAGAAAGAGACAAAGAAAGCAAATGACTTCAAGCGAGTGAGCTCAGCCTAAAAAAAACAAGTGTGTGTGTGTTTTAACGTCCTGCAGTGTGTGCGAGCGCGCACATCCTCCTGCAGAGCTCTCCGGAAATCCTCTTACCTCTCGGTGCCTCGGCAGCGGCTGCAGGGAGAGTTCTTCCTCCTCCTTCTCGCCTTCCCTCGCTCTGCTGCCAGCGCTCCCACCCTCCTCCCCCTCCCTCTTTCTGCCTCCCCCCCTCCTCCTCCTCCTTGTCTTCTTCTTCCCTCCCTCCGTCTCCCCGCTGGCCGTCTGCCAGTGCCGCCTCCCCCGCCGCCACCCCCGTTGCTGCTGTCATCCCTTCTTCTCCTTCTTCTTCATCTTCTCTTTCTCCTTCTTTCTCCTTCAGCTCCAGCTCAGAGAAACGCAGCATTGCTCGCTGAAAAAACAGAAGATAAATAATACAGCGTCAGAGAGAGTAAAGCACTTTCACTTAAACTCCTATTTCTCTCAGTGCTTGTTTCATTTATTGCCACTTAGATTTCATCAAGTGCTTGTTTCACCTGTCGCTTCAAAATCTTTCAGAACTGCTACTTTACCTGACACTTCATTTCCTTTCATTCACTTTACACTGGCTTTTTTCAAATATCGTCAGCACTTTCCCTCAAACTGTGAGAACAAATCTTGTTGTTTGCTTGTCGAGGACAGAAAGTGTCACGTTTTTGTTTGAAAGATAGGAGGTTTCCCACATTCGTAAGTGGCACATCAAAACACATCGTAGACTCTTTGATTCAGATTCAGTCTGTGCCTGAAGGACAGCAGATTCCTTCGGTTGATATTCGGGGTGAATTCCACATCACCATCACTGGTTGGACATTTTCTGCTTTAACTCTCAGCGATGCTCAGATATAAGCAGCAGCTGTCAGCCAGAGGTGAGTTCTTGGCTATTTTCTCTGGCATCCGGAGCCTTCAGGATTTCACTGCCGCAAACCACAAACACACCACAAAATATAAACTTTCAGTCTCACTCTGTGACCCCAGACTCTGCTGCTTTGAAGGAAAGAGAAACCTCCTTGTTGGCACAACATACAAACTGAGAGACATTTAAAAGTCGGCGAAGCTGCTCCAGGAAACAGTGAACAGGGGCTGCTGGATGAACCCCACAACACATTTTTATCTTTACATAATATCAAATTTACTGAAAACATATTTCTGCCTTTGAGATTAGGTGCTTAAGTCCTGCTGGTGCCACCGAGAGGCCACATTGTTAATTACTTATTTAAATTACACTTGAGCTGCTTTCAGTGCTTATACTTTTAGCGCCTACCCCTTGCTACTAGACATTTTAATTTTCTTTAATGCAATTGCAATGAATTGTGATTTTCACTTATCATACTTTCACCCCATTTAAGTGCATATCCCTTGATTGACACTTGAACTGCTAACAGCACTTTTCCCTCTTCTGAAATCACAACACCATCCTTATAGTCAGCTCAACTGATTTCACTTCTACTGACACTCAGTGTTTAAATGTCATCTGCCACTCACGTCTCTCCCAGTGCTTGTTTCTAATGCCATTTCAACTCCTTTCAGCCCTTTCACCTCAACTGACGGTTTCATTTTTTTGCACTTTTTAAACTGCCTTTTCAAATCTCTATTTGATCTTTGTTGGGAGTTGCACATGCAGCGTACCTAATTAAGGACTACTAGCCAATCAGAAGCAGAGTAGGGCGGGTCCTGACAAACCAGTAAACACGGCTTCGGTTCAGCTTTACATGTTCCCGAACCAGCTTCGCCACTTAGACTGGATCAAGAGTTTCAGAGCAGTGGGTTACTAATCTGTAACACATTTATCTTTCATGTGTTACGTTTTAACTGAGCTCTACATCACAGTAACAACTTTATGTTCGGTAGGGAGGGTGGGCGTGAGGAGAGGCAGTGGCGTGCCCCACCAGCCGCTAGGCGAGCATTATGACGGGTGTTACGTAGTGACACAGAGAAGTTACGGAAGTAAAGGCTGGACTACAATCCAGCTGTTTTCAGGCAGTTCAGGAGCAGTGTTTTCTGTGGGAGATGGGACTTTTTCACTTTGCAAACATATTACATTCACAAAAAAGAATTATAACACAATCAAAGAGAGGGAAAAAGCTACAAAGCAGAATATGACCTCTTTAAAGACTTAAACTGCCACTTTTGTCACTTCCACTTCTTTCAGTGCTTCAACTTCAGCTAGTAATCCCATGCAGATACAGATCATTTTTGTTATTAAGTTGAGATATGTCACTCTTGAACACAACAAGAATGAAATTACTAGGAGCCACATTTTATTCTGTCTGATCTTCACACATTTTATGATTTAAAATGCACTTCCAAACTCAAAGATACATTTTCTTCAGAGAAAAAGACACCGAGATGAACTGACTCAAACCCAGTAACCGTAGGTAACCACTGGTAACCACTGGTAACCACTCCCTGTGCGCTCCCTGACAGGCCAGTATTTCTTGCTCACCTCACTCTGCCCTGATCACAAACCCATTTTAAAAATGAATGGCCCGTGAAACGAGCTACAAATCCTTCTAATGGCGTTGCCCCAAGCCGGCAGCACCCAAGGGCGTAGGAGCGAAATGTGAGTTAATTTGAGAGGTAACCTCCTTCCTCCAACAGCCTCCGTCAGGAGCCACGACTGACCGAGCAAACAGCCTACCAGCGGGAATAAACCGCCTGACAGCTCAGCTTTCTGTCCTCTGAGAGGAGGGAAACAGCTGACGGTTCACACACAAGGCAGTTAATGTGATTAAGGAAATGAATATCTGCTGTCGCACAAACATGAAAAATTGCTTTGTCAGTGTTGTTATATTGTCAATTTTAAACAATCCAGAGATATTCAAATATTAGGCAGATTTTACCCAAAACGTCACTTCTCACAATCATTTTACCCAGGCCCAGTTATTTTAACTTCCTGCGCCTGATGCCATGTGGATCTGGTTACTTCTTTAGTTAACACTAATTGATATAGATGTACTTTCAGTGCCAAAATCAGTTTTGTTTAATGGGAGCAGCTGTGGCTTTTGATGTTATAGGTTTGTTGTCTGGAGATTTCAACTCTTGGGATAAATAACATCTGTTATCACAAATGAATGATTCGTGACTAGTGATAATGTTTTTATTGTGGTCCTGTTTATTATGTGGGACAGTTATCCTGAGAGAACATAAGTTCTCCAACCTAAACAAAAAAAAATTGTCATCATCACTTAAATTTCTTTCAGTGCTTGTTTTTACTGCCACTTCAACGTCTTACAGCGACTTCCTCTCGTTTTAGTACTTCAAATGACAGTTCCTTCATAGTTACACTTTGTCTGGCTTTTCAACAGCCACTTTTTCTCCAGTTCTTGTTTATAACTGGAACTACTACTTCAGCACTTTCACTTCTTCTTTCAGTGCTTCATTTTTCTTGCCATCGCCCTCTGAAGCTGAACCCACACTGTGCCAACAATGGTCCAACTCTGTGCATCAGGGGTCATGATATAATTTCCAAATATGCTGGATCATATTCCCATATTTCCCATAATGCAACTCAATGTGCATCATAAACCAACCACCATTAGGAAAACACCACAAGCCAAACTGCACACTTTCTTCATCTGTGTGGTTAAAGTAGTGAAAGCTAATCTGAGCTCCAAGGATGAGCAAGTAGAGGAAAAAAGGAGGAGGAAGAGGAGGACTTCATTAAAAGTACCACTTTCCTTCCTCCTTCTCTGCCGAGGAATGGAAGAGGAGGATGAAGAGGGGGAGGAGGCAGGAGAGATTTAATTTGAGTTGAAGGGGGATCTCAAGGGGATGAGGAGGTGAAGATAAACAAGGAGAAAGAGGAATAACAAGAAGCAAGAGCAAGCGACGAATACAAGCACAGAAACAAAACTAGAGCAAAAAAAAACTGATGGTGAGATGTAGATGAAAGGAAAAATAGAGAAAAAGAAGAGACTGAGATAAATATGTGAAGACAGTGAAAAGTTTTCCTTTCTGCCTCCATCTTCTTAACTTTTAGGGAAAAACCAGCAGAGTAACAGTTGCCTGGGGCCATAAACATACAGCCGCTGTGTTATCCTAACTCGACCTCAGCACGACCCAAAACATTAGTTGTGGAAAACAGTAAAGAAACATCTCCTGCATCCCAAAAACTACCTCATAACACCTACCAACATGATTCCTACAATCTCCTCCTGCATTCAAAAAACTTATGACACATTTATTTTTGTAGAAACAAGACAAGCCACAAGGTCAAAGGTCCACCACAGTTTCCATCCAACATCTGAAAGAAATGATTGGCTGATTCATCATTGAATACAACATTATTTTATCAGTTCTCTGCATTTTCCATGCATGCGGATTTTAAATGTTTAAATAAAATTAGCAAATTTTGATGTAAACCTTCTGGGGCTGGAGAAAGAAACTTACAGTAGTTATACAACGGAGGTGACATATCGGTAAATAGTTATTTCTTGGGTAAAAACACAGATTTGTATAGTAGAATTAGACCACAATAAGCAGCTGGTCTGTTTCCTCTCAGTGAGTGTGAGTCAAATTGCCTTAATGAACAGTAAGCAGAAACATCAATATCAGAAAACAAACCAAAACAGGCAGCAGTGGTGCAGTGAAAAATTGATTTGCCCTCTCCATCTCACCAGACAATCACTGTTTCACAGCCTAATGAAAGGATGAGGGGAAAAAAATGCCATCTTACCTGGAGTGCTCTCTGCTCTCTGCTCAGTTTGCTGGAGTCGGCGTAAAGCTCTGTGGTCACGCATCTAAACCGGTCGCCAACATAGCCGGATGAACTGGCGATGCGTTTGGTGAGGCCGGAGCGCCGGTTCTTGCAGCAGCCGGTGTCCTCGTCCTCGTCCGCTAGGGGATCCATGCTGTCCAGGATGTCTTTGTTCCCATCTTCACAGCTAGCAGTGGTGAAGCCGGAGTTTGGCGCCTCTTTCCTGGGTTCTGTCTCATTGGAGGAAAGGCCTTCACATTCTAAGTCTTTGTTAACTGCCAGTTCTGGAGTCAGATCTGCAGGGATCAAGTTAAGGCCTCCATTGAAAGGATTGCCAGGTGACGGGTGCCGACAGGTTGAGCCCCGAGGAAAATTGTTGCCGTACGTGGGGACACTAGGATTGTTATTTACATAGCTCTGGTTATTTCCAAAAGACTGGCCTTTGGAGATGGTATTTCCACAATTTGGACAACTTAAACAGTTATTTCCAGATGCAGGGGCCCTGAGATGAATATTTCCGCAAACTGGGCGCATGGCATTGTGGTTTTCATAATTTGTAAATCTGGGATTGATGCTCCTGTAGTTTGGAGTCACAGGGTTGCTATTTCCAAGAGTTGGACTGCTGAAAATTCTGGGTTCACAAGTTGGAGCCCTCAGAGCCATATTTCGGCAACATGGACCCACAAAATTTCTGTTGACAAAATGTGGATTGTTTGCCTCGCCAGTGTTACGAGTGGGACTTTTTGGGTTGATGTTAATACGCAGCGGGGCACTGCTGTTCACAATTCCCTCAAGTGGAACCCTGGAATTAGAACTCCTGCATGCTGGGGGACTGTAGTCTCTGTATGCTGGCCCCTTACTGCTGCAAACTGGACTGTCTGAATCAAAGTTGCCCACAGAAGCTGGACTCTTTGGGCCAGTGATTAAAGACACCGCTCCCAGGATGTTGTTAGAATTGGTACAATCACTAGAACACTGTCTCTCCCTTTCTTTGCTAAAAGGACCCAATGAGATAACATTTCTGGAAGGGCTTTGCTTAGGGTTAGCATTTTTATTGGCTAAGGCCTCTGACTTAGCTTCATTACAAGTGCTCTTCCCATCAACACCTTTATTCCTACCATTAGTGACACCAACCCCTATCAAGTCGCCAGCACCACCAGAGACTCCAGTTTTACATTTTCTTGAAAACTGCTGTGGAGAAGTTCGAGCACAGTGCATCGTCTGCTCCTCTGGGATGTCTGGGAATGGACTAAGTGGTTCCTCCTCTTCCTGGATCTCTTCACTAGGAGGTGAAGAAGAGTTCTCCTGAAGGGGTTGTTGTTGGGAAGTATGGGATTGTCTCTGATCTGTAACCTGGTTTGGAGGCAGGGATTGTGGAGGCCATGGCTCTCTTTCTTGAATGTGTTTACAGCCACTGCCACCATGCTTGGATGAATCTTCTCTTATGGTCATTAGGGAGCTGTGCTTGTTGGTAGACAAATCATCCGCCTCATCATGAACCAGGTCAATACAAACCACATCATCCCTGGCCAAAGTGAGGCTTTTGCCTGTTGTCTTTATGGTTTGGTTTGTGGACTTGTCTCTTTCATTGTCACTCTTTTGGGAGCTGTCAGCATCTATTTTTTCCTGGTTCCTGTATGGTTCTGCATTCCAGATTTTATCTTGGGTCTCAAGACGGTCAAGACCTGGATGGGAGGACACAGGTGGATGCGTCGTCCCCCGGGAATTCTGATATGTCATGAAGTCACCCTGGTTTGGATGTACTCCATATGGAAGGCCATGTTTTGGTGAAATGCGAGGGGGATAAAAGCTGCTGTTGCCAAGCAAGACTGGATGTGGATAGACAGGCCCTTTGCCTGGTATGGCCATGCGTTGCAAGGACATATTTTCAGCAACTGCGTATGGGATGTAACGGTTAGTGTATCCTAGTCCAGGAGGGAGGTAGGAGTCACCATAGATTTGACTGGAGGAGTTTCCATTTTCCACACGAGACTGCTGTTGCTGCTGTGGATGAGGTTGGCTCTCGTGAGTCTCTGGCTTAGCACGAGTCGTGCTCGGTTTTCCAGGGCATGTACGAGTTTCTCCTTTACTGTTTGGAAGGGCTTTCTCTGAATCAGTAGGGGGGACTCGTGACCATTCAACTTTGGACTTTGGGGAAGGAGATGATGCAGAGGGTCTTCCCCCTAAGTCAGGGCTGGGAATATTGGTTACCTCAACTGTCGTGGAGCCAGGTGAGCTTTGAGGTTGTGGATGATGAGGAATATTGTCTAAACTCTTATTTTTAATAATTTGGGAGCCTCTGCTGTGGTCAGAGCTGACAGCTGAGGAAGGACCCGAAACCCAAGGGGAGGGCACAGAGCTCATCATTTCAGGACGATCTGGAGTCTTTGCTGACCTGCTAACAGGTGAGGGTAGACTTTCGTTTAGGTGCTGGTCCTGACTGGCTAGCAGGCCGTAACGAGATGATGGTAAATAACCCAACTTGGCCAGGGCCTCTAATTTGGAAGGGAATCCATTTGAGAATCCTTCCAACTCTTTAGCAGACAGATCTAATGGTTTTTCTCTGGGCTTTTTGGTAGGCTTTTGAGGTACACCTCTGTCCAATGATGACTTTGCAGGTGATATGCACTTCTCTGCACAGCGATCTGAGCTGGCATCTTTGGTTTTGTTGTTGCCTGAATGCATGGAAGAGCAGTGCTCAGAGCTCAGGTTGCCCATGTAAAAGGGGTGAGATACAGAAAGTGTGGTTGAGGATGAGGAGGTGCTTCGGTAAAGCGACTTCTGGAGATCTGTAGTGGGGTTGTTGAGGGGTTGGGGTGGGGGAACTGAGCTTGGAGGACGGGTAACTGGGGGTGACTCTAAGGCAGCAGTATTAGCTGAACTGTTAACAGGGGCACTACTACTTCCACCACCGCCGCTGCTGCTAAGAGTGTTCTTGGAGGAAGTGGACTGACTGGACTTTGCGCCACTGCTACTGCTGCCATGTTGTCGCTCAGTATGATGAACAGCTTTAGGTTGGGGCTCCTGGTGGATCTGTGAACTGTTACTGAAGGCAGAGTGTTCCTGATGTACCTGAGGCCCAAGTCCCTGTAAAGCCTTGTCCTGGCAGTGGGGCAGTGGTGAAAGGACAGCAGAAGCTGGAGTGGACGTAGGGATCCTGATTGGAGGGCCGAGTGGGGAAGAGATATGGGCAGGGGCATAATGAGGCAGGTAAAAAAGTCTTTCTTCCCCAGTTGTGCTGCTTCCTGCCCCAGTGGCACAAAGAGATTGATAAGCCAGCTGCTGGTGGATGAACGGCGATGGCTGTGACAGGAAGGAGGCCTTGTATGCCATGTCCAGGAAGGGGTACATTGTTGCATCAGCATAAGGGCTCATCCAGGGCAATCTCAGGAAGCTGCCAGCACCATTCAGGCCCAATTCTGACTGCTTGTCATTGGGTAAAATGCAACGGTCCAGCCCCCGGGCATCACCTCCTGCAGCAGGGACAATCACAGGTTTCTGCAACCCTGGTGGTGAGCTTTTGTAAAGTCCAACATATCCATTTGCGGATTTCTGGCCATCCAATAGGGTTACATCTGGTTTGTACAGGAGATCATAACCAAGTGGGAGAGAAGTGCCAGCCTCCTGGGGCTTTTCAGCAGACAGAGGATGGATGCCGGGATAAAAAATTCCTCCGTGGGGGCGATAGTTGTCCCCCACCAGAGCGTTGCGGTCGATGCTGAGGGCAGCGAGCGGGTTCATCCTGTAAGTTGTGCTGGCATCCACCTGCAATTTGGGGAGAAGAGTCAAAGTCAGTAACGACCAGACTGCTGTTAAACATACAATGACTGTACTACTGCATTCTTATGTAGGATACAAATGAACACAAGTGATCTTTCATAACGCTAGAAACAGAACTTGTTGCTTTCAGACTGAGCTATGTCAAAAAAGTTTTTCACATTCACAAAATAATTGAATAAATCTCAATCTCAGTTAACTGAAGACGACATCTTCAAATTGGTTGTTTTGTTCTAACACTTCAAAATGCAAATATAATTTGTTTACTATCACTGGTATATATAACTGGTAAAAGCAGCACATGTTCACATTGAGAGTCCAGAACAAGTGAACTTATGTCATTAGTTTTTCCCTATCAATCAACTAATAAATTAATCAGTGTGTCTGTTTATGTTTGCAGAGGGTTCAGCCTTGTAGGTTTAGCAATGTGCTTACAACCATGTAGTCAAACCATGCTACCACTTTACTACCAACTCAGCTAGAAAGTAATTCCTGGTCAGGTATTGATGTTTGCTTGATCAGCCAGCATGTGTATATTTTCTTGAGAAAAGGCAGGGACATCTTGACGACTCTACACATGCACAACTCAATGTCCAACGCTTTCAGCTGGATATCAAATGGCTCTGCAGTATCGATTTAATCTAAACGATTCTCCCTGTAGCACACCAAAAACTGGAAAATAAACCATTAAATGCCACATGCTTAAATTCACCCTGCAAGGACAAACAGGAATAAATGGAGGAAAAGGGATTTTATCCATTTAGAGAATCTCTACAAGAAGGACAGCCTGTGATTTCATTTTTCCTTTCATGGACAAAAATAAGAGCAGCCTTTCTTTTTTCCTTTTTTTTTTAGTATTCCTGGATGACATACAATGCCCAGAGCTACTCTTTCACTCTCCCTCGACGGATCCAGGAAACAGAGAAAGAGAAAAAAAAGAGGGGAGGCAAGGGTGAGAGAGAATAGAGAAAGCCAGAGAGAGAGAGGGGAAAATAAAGAGGAAGCATGAGATAAACAAAGAGAGAGCAAGAGACAAAGAGAAAGCATAGCAGTAGAAGAGAGAGAGTCAGGGAGAGCAATATTGAAGGAAAAAAACAGCCTAATTGAATTTCCTGTCACACGGCATCGTGAACCATCTCTGATTGGCTTTCAGCCGCAGGGCCATTAGGAAATTATCCAGACAGCTGGGTGGCCGCCTGAGATGTGGAGGAAGCAGAGAGATCCTTGACTCGCTGTTTTTCAGAACACCAAAAAATTAAAAGAGATCGAAAAGTTTGTCTGGAGGAAAATTAAACTCTGAATTAGAGGAATGTTAGGAGAGTAGTGATGAACAGTTTTTTGGACGTAGACCAAACCCAGAAAATTTGTAAACCGCGATAATTACAGATCGTCAGTTACTACAGCTGGTGTGATGTGACATTTTAGGACATAACATCATGTTACAATCCGTGGCTTCTGTCGCACGCAATTATGTTCCTTAATGCAACATGGCATTTTGCGAATATACGTTTTGTGATGCAATGTGGCATTTCATGACAAGACATGAAGTGACGCAACATGTTCTTACATTTGATATTTAGTGACCTGACACTTTCTGACTTTATTTAGTGACATTCTTTGACATCAAATTTAATCTTGTGACATTTTGCGACATTTCGTTTCGCAACATTTTCACGTGTTGTGACATTTTGTGTTGTTCTATTTCATCGCAACGTGTTGTGACATTTCATTTTACAAAATTTCGTTTTGCAACATTTTCATCTGTTGTAACATTTCGTAACATGTTGCTACATGTCATTTTGCAACATTTCACATGTTGTAACATTTCGCAACATTTTGCTACATGTCATTTTGCAACATTTCGTTTCGCGACATTTCATCTGTTATATTTTGTAACATGTTGTGACATTTCGTAATGTGTTGCTACATTCGCAACATTTTGCTACATGTCATTTTGCAACATTTCGTTTTGCAACATTTCATCTGTTGTATTTTGTAACATGTTGTGACATTTCGTAACGTGTTGCTACATTTGCAACGTTTTGCTACATGTCATTTTGCAACATTTCGTTTTGCAACATTTCATCTGTTGTGACATTTGCAACGTTTTTCTACATGTAATTTGGCAACATTTCTCATGTTGTAACATTTCGTAACGTGTTGCTACATTCGCAACGTTTTGCTACATGTCATTTTGCAACATTTCGTTTTGCGACATTTCATCTGTTGTGACATTTCGGAACGCGTTGTGACATTTGAAACGTTTTGCTACATGTCATTTTGCAACATTTCACATGTTGTAACATTTCGTAACGTGTTGCTACATTTGCAACGTTTTGCTACATGTCATTTTGCAACATTTCGTTTTGCGACATTTCATCTGTTGTGACATTTCGGAACGCGTTGTGACATTTGCAACGTTTTGCTTCATGTCATTTTGCAACATTTCACTTGTTGTAACATTTCGTAATGTTTTGCTACATTCGCAACGTTTTGCTACGTGTAATTTTGCAACATTTCACATGTTGTAACATTTCGCAACATTTTGCTACATGTCATTTTGCAACATTTCGTTTCGCGACATTTCATCTGTTATATTTTGTAACATGTTGTGACATTTCGTAATGTGTTGCTACATTCGCAACATTTTGCTACATGTCATTTTGCAACATTTCGTTTTGCAACATTTCATCTGTTGTATTTTGTAACATGTTGTGACATTTCGTAACATGTTGCTACATTCGCAACGTTTTGCTACATGTCATTTTGCAACATTTCGTTTTGAAACATTTCATCTGTTGTGACATTTGCAACGTTTTTCTACATGTAATTTGGCAAAATTTCTCATGTTGTAACATTTCGTAACGTGTTGCTACATTCGCAACGTTTTGCTACATGTCATTTTACAACATTTCACATGTTGTAACATTTCGTAACGTGTTGCTACATTTGCAACGTTTTGCTACATGTCATTTTGCAACATTTCGTTTTGCGACATTTCATCTGTTGTGACATTTCGGAACGCGTTGTGACATTTGCAACGTTTTGCTTCATGTCATTTTGCAACATTTCACTTGTTGTAACATTTCGCAACGTTTTGCTACATGTAATTTTGCAACATTTAGTTTTGCGACATTTCATCTGTTGTGACATTTCGTAACGCATTGTGACATTTGCAACGTTTTGCCACGTCATTTTGAAACATTTCACATGTTGTAACATTTCATAACGTGTTGCTACATTCGCAACGTGTTGCTACATTCGCAACGTTTTGCTACATTCGCAACGTTTTGCTACATCTCATTTTGCAACATTTCCTTTCGCGACATTTCACCTGTTGTGACATTTTGTAACGTGTTGCTACATTCGCAACGTTTTGCTACATGTCATTTTGTAACATTCCGTTTCGCGACATTTCATTTTTTTTTTCATTTTTCTTTTGTGACATTTCGTAACATGTTGTGACATTTGCAACGTTTTGCTACATTTCGTTTCGTGACATTTCACCTGTTGTTACATTTCGCAACGTGTTGTGACATTTGCAACGTTGTGCTACATTGCAACATTTCACATGTAACATTTCGTAATGTGTTGCTACATTCGCAACGTTTTGCTACATGTCATTTTGCAAAATTTCCTTTTGCAACATTTCACCTGTTGTGACATTTCGGAACGTGTTGCTACATTTGCAACGTTTTGCTACATGTCATTTTGCAACATTTCATTTTGCGACATTTCATCTGTTATATTTTGTAACATGTTGTGACATTTCATAATGTGTTGCTACATTCGCAACGTTTTGCTACATGTCATTTTGTAACATTCCGTTTCGCGACATTTCATCTTTTGTGACATTTCGTAACATGTTGTGACATTTGCAACATTTTTCTACATGTCATTTTGCAACATTTCACCTGTTGTTACATTTCGTAACGTGTTGTGACATTTGCAACATTTTGCTACATGTCATTTTATAACATTTTGTTTTGCAACATTTCACGTGTTGTGACATTTTGTAGCGTGTTGTTATATTTTGTTGTAACGTGTTGTGACATTTAATTTTGCAACATTTCGTTTTGCGACATTTCAAGTGTGGTGACATACTGTAATGTGTTGTTATATTTCAACGCAACGTGTTTCATTTTGAAGGTCATTACAAGTCATTTTATAACATTTAATTTCGCAGCATTTCAGCTGTTGTGACATTTTGTAACGTGTTTTGACATTTCCAACATTTTGCTACGACGTCATTTTGCAACATTTCGTTTCGTGACATTTCACGTGTTGTGACATTTGGTAACATCTCGTAATGTGATTAAACATGTTGGGATGTGATAAACATGATGTAAACAAACAGTTAAATTATCTTATTTTTCAGGGTACCCCAGTTTTAAGATGCATGACCTACCCTCTCTCTACACTGTATCTGTCAAATAAAGGCAAAACACCAAAAATGATCTTTAAACTCAACAAACTAAAAGCAATGTTTTATTTGAATATAATAATGGACAAGCGCCAGCCTCTGACATAGTACATGTCATTTTTGCATGGAGTGATTGTAGTTTTGGCCGGTATGTGGTGATATCAACACTAGAGAAAAGTAAAGTTGACTTGTAACCTTACCATGCTGGGAGCCCAGTCTTCTGGTTTCTGCTTCAGACGGGACCGTCTGCCTCGCGGACGCCGCTCAGCCCACCATGTCTGCAGACGGAGACAAAAACCACATGAGAGGAGAAAGTGTTAAAAGCACAGACTGACTGAAACAAGGCTGAGGTTTCTGTACAGGAACAAAGGTCTCACTCTGGAATAGAAACTGTTTGCAGGGACACTTTCTCTGCAATTCTTAACATTTGGGTGAAATTGTCTTTTAAACCAGAGCAGAGAGGTTTCCTTGAGGATTTACATTTCATACTTTTTAGGAACTATTTAACAAGTGTTGTTTCTGAAGGTGAAATGTGGACAAAAAGTCACAAGAGAGAAACAAACACACTTTTCAAAAGGAAGATATTGAATGTCTTTTCTTTTGTTCTGCAGCAGAAAAGCAGACAAAAAAAGTACTTTTTCACATTTACTCACTTTTTTAAAAGAACTTTTACACTTATATACTTTTTTAGAACTGAATTTTTAATTTAAACTTAGTTCTTTTTCTTATACTTTGTAAAAATTATTGAAGACAGAATAATTTAAAAGCTGCTGGGTGTTTTCATATTCATGTATTTGGACTTTTGCAGCTGTTCTAGACAACGTTCCTCTCTGGGGAGAATATGCGGTGAGTCTATTTTTGACGGAAGCCGCGTCAAGCAGCACAAAGCAGATGAACAGGGCAGGAAGTCAGACACAGAAACGACACGGAGAATACAATATAATTTTCACCATAAAACACACCCTGTGCAGACTCCCCATCATAAATCAACAACTACATTTAAAACAGACAGAAATCAAACCATTTAACTACGGAGCCTACTTAACCAGAGGAAGCACAAAACGTGAACAATGCTTCTGGTGGAATCCAGCTACAGACTTCATTTTCTGTGTTTTAAGTAATGAATTAATTGTTTCAATTATAATTCAATAATTTTACATGCATATTGTGAGTTTGAGAACATAAAAGTACAATAAAAAGGAAATGGGGGGGGGAGTATAAAGATAAGTTTCTGTTTTTTAGACGTGACACAACCAGAAGAAGCTGAAATAGTAAAACTGATTTTAAAGAAAGTCAGCGGAGCTCGGTGTGTGTTACAGGATACAGGAAACATTTCAGCTGCACACACACAAAAACACACACACACACACACAGCTCTCCGTCTGCAGCGACGTTACGAGCCTCGAAGTCGGTGTGTGTGTGTGTGTGTGTGTGTGTGTTTTATCGCCCAGCCGGAGGACTGATAAGGCACGTCGCCTCGTTTCCCGAGGAAGTCATAATCCAGCAGAGAGAGAGAGAAAACGTATCAGCGCTGCTCGATGAACACACACACATCAAATATCTGTGTGCTGCAAAAACACGAACACACACACACACACACACACACACAGAGTGATTGATGGCTGTTAGGGAGCTGGGATTTCAATAACGGCTCTTATCTCCAGACTATTGAAGGACAGCTGTGTGTGTGTGTGTGTGTGTGTGTGTGTGTGTGTGTGTGTGTGTGTGGCGCCCATGCTCATCCATCAAACTGAACACACACACACACACACACACACACAGCTGGATTTTCTCGCTGGGAAGTTTATCAGCAGATTTGAGGCCAAATCTCTTTGATATCCTTTTTCTCTCCATTCATTTTTTAAATCTGCATTTTGAATTTCTGTATAAAACTAAACAACAGCTAGTACTGTATATCTAACCCGTTCAGTGTCAAAAACTGTCCAGTTAATTAAATTCTTATATAGAATTAGAGATGCACCCAATGTTCGGCCACTGAAATTAACCGGCCAAAAATAGTAAAAAAAACAGTTTCTGTGTCGAAAGTCGAAAGACCGAATAAATTTCACCGAACAATCACGTCGACACGTCGGCGGTGTGGAAACGTTTTAAAGTGTCCCGTTTGCAGACGCTGTTCTGCTGAACTGTCTCTCAGCACATCCGCTCCATCTGCGGCTGACTTCTTAGAAAAGAACCGCTGTGAGTGTTTCTGCCTCTCGTCTGTGAGGAGAGGAAGCTAGCCGCACCTACATTTGGAGTGCGCACGTATTCACGCCTTTACGGTAAGTGAGGCGGCCCAGAGCGAGCTGACAGGCAGGTGAGACTTAATCCTGTCAGTTTGTCTCTTTAGTATGAAGAGACGCTGTGAAGACGAGAACCACATACTACATTATTTATCAAACCGGGTCGGACTTGATGAATTTAGCGCGAGGAGGAAACACATGTGACAACGTCCGGTTTTCAAAATAAGGCGTCTGTACAGGATGGAAATCAGATTAATTGGATTATATTCAGAGGAAGTATAAAACATATTACATGTGTCCATTAAAAGTAAATGTAAACTCGGGCCCCGGTCCCCCCACCATAGTCTCTCCCCATCCTGTGGGAAACACAGAGGAAAAAGCTCATTTTCACTATTGAATTTATGCAGTGGTAAAACAAAATGTAAAAAATGGGAATGCATTTCCCTGCATTTTAACACCATTTACAAAGTTGTCGCAGCTGATTGGATAACACCTGAGACACGCCCACCAAACGGGAGCAAACATACCTGGAAGCCCGTTGCAGAACTCTGCAAGACATTTTGAGATTGAACTCGCCCCTAGTGAAAAAGAGAGGGTAACACTGTTACACTGGATAAATTACAACCATCTCCGAAACAGATCAGTCTCAACTATTGACACAAATTCAACAAATCTCCGTGAATTCAGCGCGATTTTTCCAACTTTTCCGCAAATTTGACCTCTCATCGCCGTTTCCCACAAAACGCTGCCATCAAAGTCACGTCCTTGTTTAGAAGACGCAGCAGACGTGTGTGATACCAACGTGTCACGTTCACCTACAACAATAACAGCAAAGGGCCGTGAAGACCAGGATCCAGATCTTCTTGACCAAAGCGGGAAACTGTTCTGCAGAACGTGCAGTGTTGTAGTCGAACATGCAGGAAATCGTCTCCTTACAAACTCATGGAGGACGTGAGAGAAGCACAGAGAGACAGGCTGCTGCATCCCGCTCAGCTGGTTTCAACATGCAGTTAGAGAAAACGTTCCTGTGGTTTATCACAGAGTGACAGCCTTCGGTCCTGTTTACTGAACTGTGTGTGATTTAAGAACATAGTTTAAGTCTGCCGTATCAGTTATTATGACTCTCAACTATTATTCTAAAGCTTAAAAATCACATCTACCTTTGAAGTTTTACATTTATGCCCAAGAACATTGCAACTTTCACTGCATTTTTTCTTTTAGAAAAGCTGCAACAGCCTCAAAAAAGGCCCCCCAGGTTTAGGACAATGTAGGCACACAGCTAAACAACATATGTAGCCGCAATATTAAACCTGTCAGAGAAGAACATGAACATGTTCCTGCATGAGTTTAAACAAACGTGTTTAATGTATTTTCCTTTATAAAGTATTTGCAACGCCAGTTTTTTTCTAACAAATGTGAAACCTGCGTTGTTTCCAGTCGTGTTAGTTTGGTAACCGTCTTCCTCATCACTACCTTTGTTGGCGCGTTGCTACGTAACGGCCACCAACTGTCGGTCAACAATTGTTCATTTATTGCTGAAGAACTGGGGCGAGTTCAATCTCAAAACGTTTTGCAACAGTTTCGCATTGAACGACGTTTCCTTGCAACGTTTTGCAACGGGTTTCCAGGTGTGTTTCCTCACGTTTGGTGGGCGTGTCTCAGGTGTTAGCCAATCAGCTGTGACAAGTTTGTAAACGTTAAAAGGCAGGAAAATGCAGTGCAGGTTGTTCAGAAAACCACCGTTTCCGATGAAAAAAACGTTTTGCTACTTTTTGTCTGCGCTGAACACGCTCCACCTGCAGCAGCTTCACTTCCTGCTGCCCTTAATTAAGAGTTAATTGGCTGGTGGAGGCTCGTTAAGGAGTCTGGAGATTGAAGGGTTAATTAGGCGGTCGGTGTGTCGGAAAGCTAAAAAACATCAAAGAACTCAGACGAAGAACTGAGTCAGACCTGATGGTGTCCAGCTGTGTCAGGACGTCTGAAAATGTGGAAGAGACGTTTCGATCAGAAAACTAAAACATGGATTTATTTAAATGCAGTTTGGTTAGATCAGGAAACGCTGAGGGGGGTCTGGAAATATTTGGGCGCAGTTTGTTTCAGAAGAGGTGTGACACGTTTTTACACCCAGGGATCTGTCACATGATCAACCTGAGGGGTCCTGAGGTGATTAAAAAGACTGAGGAGCAAGAAAGCAAGAAATTGTGTTGCTGTTTTATATGATTTTTTGCTGGATTAAACAAAACTGAATTTGAGAAAACTCACGATAAACATCTGTATCTGTGTCACTTTAAAATGATTAAACACATGTAGGTCAGTGACGTTATCCTGTAAAACTCTGATTATCAGATTATAAACTGTTAAACTGTCTTTTAAACTCAGTCACTAAATGAACATTACAGTCACTTTAAAGAGACCATATGATAAATATTACAGTTTTAAAGAAGAGACAGAATGTCACAGGATTACATCAGGTGACACAAAAAATGCAGTAAGACAAAGTTTTAAAGGGACGTCCTGAAATATTATTGACACTTTGAACTTTAGGAATAACTTTAACACAGATGAATGTTAAACCATAAATTACAAATGTAAATTACATCAAAATATTATTCATTTGGGGTCAATACTTCAGAGTAAAGAATATAAAGACTGCAGTAAATGTCATTAAAAGTCTGTAATAGTACATTTGGTGCTTGTCTTTTTAAATAAACTCACCTCTGATGTTCTGTGTCGTCCGGTTCTTTAATATTTGAGGAGTTTTTATTTAATATCCATCCGGTAAAAACAAGCGGAATCTAAAAGGTTCAAAGCTTCTTCTCTCCTGCTGAAGAAAATAAATCCATCCTCATTGATCTGCCGCGTGCGGATGCAGGACGGGGGCGTGGACGCGCACGTGCACACCCACAACACACGCACACAAGCAAATAATAAAACACACACACACACAGCAAAATGACTAAAATAAAGGTGTTTATGAATTGTTTCTGGTGTGAGACAAGCAGAGCGCGCACGCGCACAGGTCAAAGCTGAGCAGAACTCCGTCCGAAAAACATCAAATTTAACAACAACAGAAATAAATGAAAGCTGTGAGCGGACACACACACCTGGACATGCACGCACATTCACGCGCATACACGCGCGCGCCGTCCGGTACCGGGCTGAACTCCCAATGTGCGCGTGTTTTCCCTCCGCGGAGTCCCAACAGGAAGCAGCAGCGGGATCAAATCCAGACAAATTCAGCCTGGAAATGAAAAACTATTTTTTTTTAAATAATCCTCCACGAGCGGAAATATTCCTCAGGGTGTCGCGCGCACAGCTCGCGGGTTATTCCACATTTGTTTTCTTTCTTTACGGTCCCGTCGTCCGTCCGTCTGCTGGGTTTTATCCTCCTCTCTCTCCTCCTCTCTCTCCTCCTCTCTCTCCCTCCACACGGTCACTGCCCCCCCCCCCCCGCTCCTCTACGTCTCTCTGCCGCTCTCGCGCTCCAATGCGTCAAGTTACGCATAAATAAACATTCAGATTTCCGTTACGCGCTTTCACAATAAAACCACCAACCACAGGGAAAGAAAGACGGACTTTACCAGCAGGGGAAGAAGCACTGAAGTATTTTACTCGAGTAGAAGTAACAATGCTACAGTGTAAAAGTACTCATCGTGCAGAAACAATATATTATTATAATTAATGAGGCTTTGATGTGTTCATTTATAATAAAACTGAATTAAACATGGTGTCTGAAGTGAGACACGGCTTATATCCTCGACAGGTCTCTGTTGTGCAGCCGTTTATTCTCTGACAGAGGAGCTTCCATAATGTTAGCTAATAAGCTAAAACAGCTTTCTCCATTTTGTACTCTGTGTTCACACAACTGGTTAAGGCCTCAGATGTACTTTTAACTATGCCTATGCAAGATGGCTGCCACGCATGACAGCGTGGAGTGGAGGTTGCGCACGTCTCCAGAAATTAACGCTACCCATCCGCAAGATGCAGTTCAGCACATGAACGTGGGGGCAGTATGTCGATCTGACCGGCAGGTCAGCAGCGATCTACTGTTCCACACACCAGCCAGGTGGTGGCGGCGTGCAGTTGGTTTGCCAACCGCCATTAAAGGTGAAAGAAGATGAAGATGAAGGTCAGCAGCCGACTTTAAAAAGGAAATTTATGGCGGGATGTTTACAATAAAACTCGGACGGATAATCCGGTCCTGATCTGCCCCCTAGTGGATTCAGGTTTAATCCTCCAGGTACATGCAAAGTACGCAGGCAAATATATGAACAATGCCGCTTGCGTCGCTGACGCCTGTCTACGCCTGTCTACGCCTACGCATTGTTAAAAAGACAGTATGTCGAGGACTTTATTGGTCTGAAGCGTCAAAGGTCAACAAAGGTGAACTTCACCACCGCAAGTGAAATTATGAAATGTGATTGATTTATTTTGTTTTAAATGTGATTTTATTTCTGATAAACTGAGGCGTCAGGAACTTTCCCTTTGTCATTTTGAATGTTTAATTTATTTCAGTATATTTTTATCTTTCGTTCTCGACAAATGTCTGTTTGGGACAATAAAATTAAAGTTAGAAAGAAAAATCAAACCAAAGGAAAGACGTCCTAACACTTCCTGTTCACGTTTAAATCTGGACAGCTGACACACAATTCCAGTGTTTAGATGAGATTTTATGTTTTAAATCCAAATCTTTACGCAACTCCTGTAAAAACTAAAATTCTGGGCCAAAGGTTTAAATGCAGTGCTTTTATTTTGAAAGAAGAATTGCATCCATTGTGGCTTTATTCTGAAACAACGACGGTGACTTCACACAGTCTGAAGCTCTTCAATACTTCATACTTTATATTCATCTTACTATAAAACTGAATGAATTTCTGAGAACAGTTTGGTGCCGATGTTGTTTTACTTTATTCAATTTATACACCAAAATGTAAAGGGACTTGACTTCCTCTCTGTCACAAACACAAAACAATCCTCAATTCAACAATTCAAAATGTGATCAATCAAAATTCCTCAGATCAGTTTAATAAAATACTGGTTTCACTGATGTTGTTATTCATGTCACACATGTTTGATCAATAACCTGAAACAGAAGAACAAGCCCACACACTCAGTCTTCAGTTTGTAAAACCACAGCTCCTCCAAGTGGATCCAGAAAGTACTGAAACAACTTCATTAGTGATTAAACTGCTCAGCTTTTCATTTGTGACCATAAACCAGAACATTTTATGATTCTATTAATTTTATTTTTATGTTCCTCTGTGTTAAGTTTCTTCTTCTACTAACAATGGCGACTGAAAGCGATCGTGTTGGAGTCGCAGCTGATCGATGTTGAACAGCTTACTTTCAGTGAAATTACTGAAACGCACAAACGAAAGGAGGCGTCGGAGGAGATGGTGTGAAGGAGGACAGGAAGGAAATGCGACGACACCAAGCCGACCAATCACAGGTCTGGCGGTCTGCGCCGCCGCGACGTGTGGTTTTAGTTTTGGGGAGGTTCACCACAGAATGCAGCGCAGAGAAGTATAAACTGGCCTTTAGTACCTCTGCTACTATCCTACAAATGTTGCTAGTGTCACTCATTGTTGAAGCTACATTAGTTTGCTTTCAGTAGTGGTAATTTGTTAATTAAATTGATTATTATTATGATTTTGTTTACATTAGAAATACGTATATATGTATACATATTTTGATAATGGTTTTTTTGTTTGTTTAGTTAATTGTTTTATATATGTTTAGTCTTTATTTTTGGTTAGTTTAATAATTGCAATGTTTGATTTAGACACCTGAGGGCAGTAGTGGGCACAGGTGAGGGTAAATATAGGTAGGAAGTGAGCGGCAGCACCTGGGTGATGGGCACATGGTTTTTTACCAGCGTGAGAGATGCTGTATTGCTTGCTCAGTTGGAACAAATAAACCAGCCACAAACCCTGAATCCAGTTTGAATTTGATTTTATTTCTTGCCTGCGTACATTACCTGCCCAGGGTGCTAGAAGTTGTCGTTTGAAGGTTTGATTTAAGTTTAACTTTATTTTGTTTGTTGACAAACGGCCACTACACTCATAGTAGTCCTACTGCAATTAATACTACACAGCAACTATGACTACTACTCTGAATACTGATACTATTAGTACCACTTCTGTTAATATCCTATTATATTATTATATTCTGTATTTTCCTTATTGTGTATTTTGCAACTGGAGATGCTGTAACAGGTGAATTTCTCCAGTGTGGTACTGCAAATACTACTACTGCTACTGCTACCATAAAAACTCCTGTCACTTTCACAAATAAGAAAAATAATACTACTTTACTTTACTACTATTACTAACTAAACTTTTGACACCAATTCAAACTCAGGTTACTATCATATATATTACTACTACTACTAGTAGTAGTTAGTGCTACTGCATTACTGCAAGTGCAAGTACTTCTACTGCAGCTGCTGCATCTAATACTCCTACAGCTATCAGTTCTACTTGTGCTTATACTGCACCAATTCAAACTCTTGCTACTTTCACGTAAATTACTACTACTGTACTACTGATATTAATACTAGTATTACTTACATCTCATACTACTACTATATATATATATGTATATAATACTGCTGATGCTGCAATTACTGCAAATACTAGTACTGACTTCAGCTTGCAGTAAATGTTGCTGGTAAACAACAACAAATCAAGATGTTGACCTATTGATTTGTTTTTGAAGAACCCACCAGCAGGTTCTGGTTTATTGGTTAAGAATCTCGCCTCCCTGGAGAGATGTTAAACAACACGTTTAAACTTGTGAAGCTGCGGTCAGCGCTCTACTTCCTGTTTCATGACAGATCATCACACTTTAAGTAGAGTACTTTGAATTACTACTTCAAAATATAAGTCATTTAAAAAAATAATTTACGTGTTTATTTGTATAATTTAAAACTACTACTACTGTTACTATCACACATACCACTACAAGGGTTACTGTAAGTGCTAAACAGTGTAACACTGCTAGTACAACTACTATTATTAGTGTCCTCGTACTGCTACTGTTACTACTTCTTCTACTAAAACTATCATTAACTGTCCATTGTTCTGCTAGTACTGCTACTATTACTATTGTATATGACAAATACTTTAACCACTTTGTTACAGCTGATCCTACTGCTGCTACTGCTATAATACTACTGTAAAAACTACTAGTTCTTCTATAATGCGTTATTTTAGTACTGCTACTGTTTGTACTACAATTATTCCAACAATACTGCTGCTGAAATAAATACTACTGCAACTACTCTTTCTGTTAATACTGCTACTGTTAGTACAACTATGTGTAATACTACTATTGATAGCATTTCAACTAGTAAGTATGATTGAAGTATGACAACTGCCATTAATACTACAGTTACAACAACTACAACTAATATTACTCCTTCTGGTACTACAGCTACTGTAACTTCTAACGCTATAACTGCTATAACTATTACTCCCAAAGCAACATACAAGTTACTACTACTGCTAGTACTTCACAAACTTCTGTTACTATCACACATAGTACCACAGTACTAGTGCACCACTGCTGCAACAATAGTTGCCATATTAGTGTTACTGCCACAATTATTTCTAATGCTACTACTGCTATACTGTAAATAGGTAATAATGCATCATACTACACCTTCTGCTAGTACTACTACCACAAGTACTACCACCACTACAGGCCCATTTCAAATCCTGGTACTATCACATACACTACCGTTCAAAAGTTTTGGGGCCACATCAGTGTAGAAAGAGTAGTATTACACATAGTATTACACATTGTTGTACTAACACAAGCTTGTTTTTAACAACAGCAGCTGTATTAACCAAAAGAGTAGTTGTAGTAGTATTCATTTCAGTAGCAGTATTAGAACGTACACTAGTCACAGTATTGTTGGAATAATTGTAGGCGGATTGAGGCCCTTTGTCAGCTGCCACCAGCCCCGTGTTCCAACGGCACGCTGCGTTTGCTAATCCAAGTTTAGCATTTTAAAAGGCTAATGGATCGTTAGAAAACCCTTCATGGCAGCACAGCTAAAAACTGATGTGCTGATTAAAGTAGATAAAACCAGCCTTCTTTAGAGTAATTGAGTATCTGGAGCTTCAGCAGTTCTGGGTTCCATTACTGTGTGTTCACAGCGAAGCCAGCGTTTCGTGCGGCTTGATTACAAAGTCAATGCAAAGATGCAAATTCCTGTGAATTCGCTCCGGGCGGTGCAGAAGGTGCATTTGTTGCGACATTTGCTGGTTTGCAGGAGTTCGAATTTTTCAACTTGAGCGAGAAAATCGCTTGACACCGAGTTGCGAAAGCCTATCAGTGGTGAGATTGTCCTGGCAGTGTTGTTTGGAGAGGACCAGGCAGAGCGGGGAGTGAAACGCCGC